TTCTCTTATCTTATCTCTTCTTTCTGCTTTCTTTTTAATTGGAATTAATTCCTTACTATTATAAATTATAGTTTATTACAATCCCTTCAATCTCATCTTCCTTATTCTTATCAACATTTGTCTTAACTTAGTTAATCTTTGTTTATTTTTGTGAATCATAAAATTACTCCAATATTTTAACTATTCGTCTATTTAAGTCAATGCCTATAATTTATATTTTTATAAGTGTACTTATTCATAATTCTTTGATAATAGTATCTTCTCCCATAATTCTTTTGGTTTTTATGCTCTTTCTGCTGTTTTTACATAAAGATAACATAAACCCTTTTCTTCTTTAATTGTGGCATATTATGAATTTGCTAATGGACAAGATTATTTAGAACATAAACCTGTTACATTATATTCATTTCTACAGAAATTCTATGAAATTGTTCTATTCTTAATGTTTTATTTCTTACTTAATCTTAAATGAACAATGACCACGATTTATCACCTACCATACAACTTCGTCAATTTACATAATTAATAATTATTATTATTTAAATCTATAAAACATAATGAATAAATATTGAGAATTCAAGGTAATCCCTTTTTCTTCTTTTTCTCTAACCAAATCTTCTTCTCTTTTTTTTAAAATGCCTCAATTCTTAATTTATAATTCTCTTAATTCATTATTAGATATGGTTTAATATCTTCATCATTATATTCTAAATCTTTATTCTTATCATCCTTATCAAAATCTCTCTTTGTTCTCTTCTTCTTTACTTCTTCAAAATCTTCAAAGTATTTTCCTTGTACTTTTATAGTAAGATTCTATATTAATTTTGCTAATTGCTTATCTAATTCTTTCTGATATTATTCTTTTTACTTTTTAGTTGTCTATCTCTAATTCTTAGCATACTTCTCAATCACATTCAATTATTTTTTCTATTTATCATCCAATAACTCTAAATTCTTTCTAAACATTACAGCATCTCTACTATCTTTATCATCAGGATTCAATGATTATTATAAAAATGCTGTTAATTTATTAATCATTTTCCATCTCTTCAGATTAGCTTCAGTCTTAATTTTAATAAATTATTTACCGTCAATCCTAATCTACTAGATATATTTTAAATATCTTCAACATGCAACTTACGTAAATCATTGTCAGTACCCATTACTTAAGGCTTCTTCTCTTGAATTGCATTCTAACCTTTCTCACCTCTAGCCTTTTAAGGTTTCTTTATATAATTCAAACCTCCATGTCCTGATGTAGGATCTCCAATTCCATATAATAACATTCTTCCTGTTTAATTAGCTGAATTCAGAAATGATTGAGATAATGACCATGCAGTCATATTTAATTCATCTTCAATTCTCCTAGCAATTACCCAACTATTAAAATCTTAAGGATTTCTAGACATATATTCTTAAAGAGTTTTCTTCATCTTATCACTATTCTTAAGTTCTCTTAATCCAAAATCTTATAATAAATAAGATGAATGTAACATAGACTCATATAAACATACTTAATTTGCAGTTATATCATATTTAAGAACTTGTATGTCATCATTACTTCCTTTTTAATATCTCCATGTTTTTTAATTAGATGTATCCTATATCCCTTTACATTCTTTAAGAGCTGATCTAATATAAGTGTGGCTTTATTTTTAACTTTATTTTTAATTTTATTTCTAAAATATTAATTCCAATTCATCCTATTTCACTTCCAAACCCATCTTAAATTATTTCTTTATATAAGTTTTTAAACAATTCTTTAAAAATGTTCCTAAAGGTCTTGACTAAGGAGTAAAGATTTCTACTTTTGGTTCAATTTAACCAACTAAGTAAATACAATCTATAGGTCTTAGTGTATATTTATAATGACAATTATCAACTCTAGTTCTCACCAATAGAAAATCAGTAATTGGCAATTTCTATTTGAATATAGGAGCCCTGTAAAGATCATTCTCTATAACTGCTATACCTATTAATCGTTCATCTGTTAATTATCCTTAAAGTGGTATTGCTCCATTCTTATCTAAAAATCTAATTTAACCTATATTGCCTAATTGTTCAACCAACATATTTTTGAATTCCCAAAGAGTCATCTCTTCATTTGAAATCTATCCCATTTAACCATAAGTACTTCTATAATTTGCTTATAGACTATTCTCTTAAGTATTATTATAATTGTCTCCTTCATCCTTAATTCTTTTCTAATTAAATTATTGTAATGCTCTACTAGAATAAACATACCTAGTTACTTTAGAACACATTCCTGTATTATTTAAGATTAATGGTCTTTATTCTATATATTCCATCAATATAAAATTTCCTTTTGATAATGATAAATTTTCGACTTATTTATAATATTCATGACTATTTTATTTTTCAGTAGATTCTTCTAATAATATATCTCTATTGTCTTTCTTTTATTCCTTTAGATTTACTAAAGGAACTAATTCAGTAGGCCATGGATCAAAATATTTAACTTATTCTCTTTCTAATCCAAGAAGTTCTCTTTTCTCTTCATATAAATTATCTATAATATTATTTCTATGATATTTTGCATGTTTTGTTAACACTTAAGAAAAATCATTTAAAAGAAATGATTCTGCCACTTAAGAATGATTATAAAATGGTGTTGTTTAAAATGCTTTCATTTTGGATTCAATCAAATTTAATAATTCTTTATTTGCTACATCTTCATTACCAAATTGTTAATTGAAATCTTATTATTATTGTATTCCCTCTTCAAATTATGATAGATCTTAAGATTCCTACTAATCCTCAACACTTAGTAAATTCACATGAGATACAGCACTTCTATTATCCTTTTATCTTGAAACTATTGATGGAGCAGCCAATCTATTAGCTAATTATTATTATGTTCCTATTTTCTCTGGAAACTTCTTTTAGTGTAATAAAACCTCCAATTTTTCACTAAAGAATTACCGATTCTACAAATCAATTTCTACTTTATTATAAGTTTAAAATGATTTTGATAAGAAGTTTTCCTTATAACCCATACAAAATTCAACAATCTCTTTATTGTAATATGAATAATTATCTAAAGCCTTTTAAAATTCTTATTCCTTTTTATCAATTTCCACTTATTTAAAACCTTCATCTGATTATTAATTTTATTAATTTTACTATTCATTCAATTTCTTCTCATCTTCTAATTATTATTAAATACGTTGCAATAATCCCATTCCTGGTTCATCAGTCTATGCTTAACATTTTAATGCATTAATATTTTCTTATGGACATTAATACAAAAAGGATTCTTTATTTAAAATTCTTTAATTTTTATGATTCTTAATTTCTATATTAAAATTATCTTATTATTATTATTATTCATATTCAAATAATTTGAATTTACCTGTAAAAAATCGTCTCAGGTTTTCACTATCTTTTTATCTAATCTAAGCTTCCATTTCCATTTAATTCTTTTTTGGATCTTAATCCATTTAAATTTATTATTAATACTCTTCATTTTCTTCTACTTCTTAAAAATTGATCTAATTTTCATTTTTCATTTTCTATTAAATTTCTTTTTTATAATTTATATCTTCCTCTAATTTTATCTTTTTATGTTTTTTATTAATTAATTCATTTAATTCCTAATAAAATTTAGGTGTTAATAGGGGATTCTAATAACTTTGAATCATCCCATAAGGATTATCAACTATTTCCTCTTAACATAAAATTGTATAATTATCTTTGCTTTCATTCTATAATTTAGTATAAAGAGATAGTCTTTTTTCAAGACTCTTTAAACATTTCTGTTTTTTAAAGGAATTCAAAATAATTTCTGAATCTTTATTCTATTATAAGTGTTCCTTTATTTATTAATCAGTTAAAACTGAGAAAAACTACATCAAAGAGTCATAATAATCACCATCAAATGATTTAGTTTTCTTATATTTATAGAGAATGTCATTAATGACTTTATCATATATCATTCTAACATCTTCACTTGCAGCATAATAAAAATCAGAAAATGCATATACAGGATATTTAAGATTCTATGATTAACGAGTATTATTAGTTTATTCTAATTATTTATTGTTTTTCAAATCAATTTGACGTAAAAATGTTCTTAATTAAGGATTACTACTTAAATATTAATTTTAATCCATATCAGGATTCAATTTAATATTCTACAAATTAGGTTCATTGATCTTTAGATTCTATCTTTATGTAATCCTCTTTTATTCAACTTCACTTTCTACTTCTTCTTCATCATCATCACCACTTGTTTCTTCATTTTATCCTTAAGGTTTGAATCCTGCAAATAATGCATCACAGTCTAAAATGTCTTTGAAGTATCTCATTGCAAAGTTTATATCTAAACTACTTTTATCTCTTTAATTCATTTCATTGACATCTTCAAATTAAGCAAATAAAATATCTAAAAGTGCTTCGTTTATCATAAATTGTTAAAATATTTACAAATTATATATAAATAAATATAAATAATTAATAATTACAAATATTAGTCTATTAATATAAATGATAACTAATCATAATCATAAAAATAATCCTAAGGTTTTAATTATATTACTACAGTTAGTTTTTCATATAAGAAATTGATTTAATATAAAATATTTCTAAATTTGAAATATTATAATATTAATAAAATGGGTTTCTTATTATATATCTGTTTATCTTATTGATATTAATATTATCATCTTATTGTAGTGAGTTTGATTTGATTTCAATATTCTATTAATTAATTTTCAGTAAGAAAATTGTAGAGTCTTAAATTACAAAAAAATATCATTAAAAAAAAATAAGACTCTTTGTATTTACAATATTTTAGAATATTAAATAATTGCTGATAATGATAATTAATGTGTGGGCTTATGTTGAAATTAATTTAAATATTATATCAATTTGAGATTATTAAAATCATGAACCCCTTTTTTCTATTTACTTTCGAAATTAGACAAGAAATAGTGTCTAAATATGTGAATAGCTTAGCTTATATAATAATACATTATTTTATGATTCTTGTCAATCATTATCATAAGTAAATAAAGAAGAATTTTAATTAATTAGTTATATGATTATAGCATAGACAAGAGATTCAAACAATTATAATTTATCGACATTAATCAATTAATTAGATGTTAGCAATATCATCTTTAGTAATTAATAACTTACATTTATTATTTCAATAATCCAATTTGCTTTATCATTGTTTTTCACAATACTTGTAATAATACTACTTTTCTATAAAAACAACAATTAGACACAATAAACATAGTTTACCAGTCTTGGAAATGTATTCATTTAGTTTATATAGATTTTTATAAGATCCATAAGAATATTGTACTGGATTCTGTGTTATCCATTTTTATTAGTATCAACCTATAACACTTTTATTGACAATAACATAAGTCAATATTTTTCTATATTTACTATACTCTTTGTTGTATTCTTTACTTTTTTTCATGATTTTGCATTACTTAATGACAATTTTAATAAATAAGACTTTTTGAACATTGCACAATCTAGACCCTATATATTTAATAGTTGGATTAAATTAGTTTAATGTTCATATTCAAGTTATTATTATGTAAATCAAAATTCTCATGTATATTTAATAAATAATAATTTTTAGATGACTTATTTACTTGTTAGTTTTGGATTATCATTTATAAATTACATTTAATTATAGTATTTTATGGTAATTTTTGGAAAATATGATATAGATTATATCTTTCATTTAGTTAATGCTATATATTTTGGATAAAGTCTTGGATTATTAATTTAATATTACATTAATATTAATGATCCTTACACTTTAATAACAATTTTTATAATCATCACTTGTGTTATAATTCATACTAGTTTTAGAAAGTGGTATTTTGAATATCAATTCACTAATTCTAAAGATGTTCCAACTAGAGTTATGTTATTAAATTGGTTTAGAGAATTAGAATGCTCAGATATATATTATATGGGGATTGTAACTAAACATTATAATCATCCAAATAATAAGAAATGCTTTTTAAGACAAAATGCTATATATTACAGTGGTAAGAAATTTGCCAAATATACTTATATAACAACTAAGAAACACAATATAGAAAAATATAAAGGATTATTTGTTAAGTTCTTGATTAAATGTTTACTTGAAACATAATTAAAATTATAACCTAATTCTGATGAAATACGATTGCTTTATTCAGAAATCTTATTTTATAAATTTAATTTAATCAATCAATCATTCAAACATTTATCAAAAATTAAAAATAATATCAATTTTAATTAAAAAATGAGAGTAAAATAATTAAAGTTATCTATTCACAATAAATTAAAGGAAAATAATCAATTAAGTTATCGTTCAAAATTACCTTTTGAAAACATATTAAAATGTGAAGAATAAATGAAAGAATTTTTTTAGGCATTTTTAAAAATAGCAGAATTGTAAGTATATTTTTGGAAAAATTAACTTTAATAATTTATTTCAATTCCTGAATAAATTAAAATATGTTAATAAATATTAAAAGAGATATAAATTTGTCAGAAGAATTGGAAAAACATTCATTTTGTTAATCCAATTGATGAATAATAAATATTAATAAGATTTAAATGGAAATTCTTCTATTTATTTTTTAAACTTTATATTCTTCATAAAAAATTAAAAGTATAAGAAATTAAAGAATTACCTGATTAAAATCTTAAATCATAATAAATATTTTCAGATGAAAAAGTAGATGAAAGATCTTCTAGTGAAGATGAAGCTTAAACTAAAAGTTATTATTAAACAAATTGTATAATTTCATCTAATAACTTATTTTTTCGAGTTGATAAATTTGGTGAAATTATAGCAGCTAGCTAATCAACACTTAAAATATTAGGTAGACCATAAAATGAATATAGAGGAGCTAGAGTTGAAACATTAATGCCAGACATAATTAAAGAAAATCATAATGATTTTTTAAAATAATTTTATAAGACAGGATAATCTGAAAATTTATTTAAAAGAAGATCTATTTTAGTTAAACATAGCAAAGGACATTGTTTTAAAGCTTAAAAATATTTAAAATATATTTTTAATTTAGATTAAGATAGATTTGAATATTTGAGTATGTTGAGATAAGTAACAAGTCGTTCTCAATATATTGTTTTAAATTCAAAATGGGAAATTGATTCTTCAAGTGAATATCTTTATTCAATATTTGGTGATTACAAACTTCCTTTTCTATCTTTATGTCCAAAAGCCATTTCATATACAGAATATGCATAATTCCTTACTAATTTTGATATGAAAATATTGAGTTTGAAATTATGTTCTTTTGGTAGCAGAGAAAGAATATAAGATAAGAAATTTACATTCAGAAGATAAAATGATTAAACATTTAGTAATAAATCAATAAATGAATTAACAAGTTTAGTATTTAAAAGAGAATTAGAAGAAAAGTAAAAATAGAATGTGATTTAATTATTTTAATAAATTCTTGAAGAAGATAATGAAATTGAAAGAACTGCAAAATTAACTAGATTAAATCATATTAAATTAAATATTAGAATACCTATATATAAGGCTGAATTTTAAGAAGATTATAATAGATATGATGCATAAATGTATACTATTTATTATGATGGGGAAAGTAAGAAGAAATTGATATTTAGAAATGATAATGGAAATATAAGATTAGATAAATTTGAATTTCTTTAAAGATATAGATGGGTTAAATAATAAAGAATGAAGTTTATATATTCAAAAATTAGTAAGCATTTATAATTAAAATAGAAAATTTATTTGAACATTTTTGTTAAGAAAAAGTACTTGAAAAAGTATTAAAAGTTGATGCTAATATCAAGTTCTATAAAACTCTAAATAAAATTTCCTTCTATATTTTAAAAATAAATCGTTTAGAACTCTATGATGAAAATACAAATAACTCTGATAAATAAGAAATTGAATTTGTCAATACCAGTTCATTCAAACCATATACTTCAGCATTAGTTAGAGAAGTTGTTATATCATCTCAATCCTAATCATAATACTTAAAAAATCAAAGTGGTTATTAATATTCTGGTAATGTACTTAATTATTTTAGATATGGAATTGATTTCCAATAGAGAATACACTTAAAAGCCATTTTTAATTGATTACACACTTAGAGATGATTTTTTAGTTTAAGGATCCAATACAATATATAGTTTAAATGAATAAAATGATCCTTTTATTAAAGAAGAGATTAATAAACTATCAAAGAAGAATTAAAAGTTGACCTTGCTAATAGTTTTAAATAGATTTTCATTTTTTGTGTAATTGCTATTTATTTCTTTTACTTACTTTTTTTGCTCATTTTACTATAATCCTATTACTATACACAATTCAGTGACTTTATTAGGTCATCTTTATAAATTTTAATTATTAACTGTGTCATCATATAATTATATTATTGATGTAGCTTTAATGAATGAACATTAATTGTCAAATTTATTAATTACTAGTTCTACAACAAAATTTAATACAACAGAATAGTTTTATGATTTTGTTAATAAAGAAATTGATGATTATTTTACTTATATTTGCAATATTTACTCAAATTAAGATTTTGTTTCAATGGTTTATTCTGGATTTTATAGTGATGATGAAAATGTCAGTGGTTTAGATATATTTGATTAGTTTTAAGTTAATTTATTATAATTTAACTAGTCAGATAAGTCTTTAATAAAATAAAATAATACTATATTATCACATTTTAGAGATTATATGGCACCTTATACATAATAATTAATGTAAGACTCTGTGATTTCAAGAATTAATGATGCTATTCTATATTAATAGTAGTCTATAGATAATCTCATACTCTTTATGATATTTCAATTATCTTTAATGGTAATTAATTCAATATTTTCTTTGCTGATAAAATTTAAGTTTCGTAATGATATTAATACTATATATATTATTGTTACTAATTTACCTAAAGAAGATAAAATTAAAGCAATGAAATAATATTAAATATTATTTGCATAATTAAATTCTCTTTTTGAAGAAGAATGTAATTTAAATTTATAATAATTTAGAATATGGATATAAAAAATAATCCTTGAATATTTTAAATGCTGATACAATAATGTAAATAAATTTATTAATCATAGATAATAAGATTTTGAGATGAATGAAATAGAAAAAGCAAATTAAAAAAGAGATAAAGCCTAAATTTAAAAACCACCAAAATATTAATTTAATGTATTAATTCAAATTTATTATTTAATAGACTGTTTTTGCTCTTATGTTTTATTTAGCAATTATACTAATCTTATTTATACTTGCTTATTATTTTATTTTGATTAATCAAATTTAAACAAAGTAATTCTTTTTGGATAACAATTTCTTAGTTTAAACAAACTATTTTTGGTTAATTACATTGCTTAAAGAAGTATAATAATTAATAATTAATTAGAAATTCATTTATGAAAACTATTTAAATTCCTCATATTATTCAAATATCACAACTTTTAGATTCCAAGAATTTCTTAATGATATATCATTATTTTCACCTCATTTATACTAAACAACAATAGATGATATTTAACATGTTTTTGATGAGACATTATGTGATTAAGTATTTGGTAAAATATATAGATGAATAATATTTAGATGAAACTGGAACATATATTTATTATAATTAATTTTGTGATGATATATTAGATGGAGCATTGAAAAGAGGATTGAAACAATTTAATATATTATTATCATAGGTAGTAATTAAAGCATTAAATCCAAATGATGAAAGATATGATAATTTTACTATAGAAGATCTTGCCCAATATTAAATTTCATTTTAGATTATTTATGAAATATTTTTGAATGTTTTTCAGATTTGGGCATCAAATGCAGAAACTTCATTAAATAATTCATCAAATTTAAGTCTAATTTCTTAGTAAGATATATATAAATATATATATAAGTATCATCTAACTTATTGTGATAATCATTCTATACTTTTGTTTATTGGAATATTTTTTATTTACTTAATTATAGTAAGACTTTAATTTCAGTAAAAAATACTATAGATATTTTATGTTAAACGAAACCATGAATTAAGTGAAGACTATGAGAGTAGATTTAGTAAGAACTGGTTTATTATCTAAATGATAAATTAATTATTTTAGCACTATTTAATTCAATTATATTTATTTAAATCTTTATCCATTAACCAAAAGCATATTATTTCTATCTTTTTAAAAAAATTATTGGTTTTATTTTTTTTAAATAAAAATATTTATTAATAAGAGTTGATGAAAGATATTAATTATTTATCAAATATTCATATCATGAAACATATGTTTTTCTCTATTTAAAAGGAAAGCTTCTTAATATATTTTTATTTTAAGAGTATAAAAAGTATTACGAATATAAATTGAAAAAAATCCTTCTTGAATTTATCTCATGCATCAGAGCATTTACTAATCATTGTTATCTAATAAATAAATATGGACTATAAATAGCTTGTTATTTATATAAGAGAAGATGATGAACTTGAAACAATAAAGAAGACTGAAAACGAAGATATTGTTCCATAATTGAATTAATAAACTAAATAATCTTGTTAAATTAGTAGGAATATAAAAAAAGGTTTATTACTTTGGAAAGAATTTTACAAATAAGAATTAATTAAAAACAAAATCAAAAATCCATATGCCACTCATAATGAATTAACTTCAATTATTTCATAAAAATGGAAAAGAAAGAAAAAACATAAAAAGATTGTTAATAAATTAAAATTGAAAATAAAACAAGAAAATATAACTGAATTAACTATTTAAGATAATAATGTTGAGCAAATATCAATTAATAATAAATAAAAAGATGAAATTATTGAAAAACTCAGAACTTAAACATTTAAATTAATTTACTTAAATAATATTTGTGAACTCAAAGGAGAAATCATTTTAGAAGCAATAAACAATAATATGTAATTCATCTACATAAATAAATCATATGAGAATAATTAATAAGATATTGAAGATTTCATTAACTCTAAAATAATATAAAACAATTAGGAATCTCAAGAAAACAAATAAGTGGATAAAAAAAAGGATTCAGAAGATGAACCTATAATTGATGAAAATGAGAGAAGCTTTAAAATTATAAATAAAATCATGAATTATTTATGATATATTAAAAATATTCAAATTCTATGATATTTTTTATAATATTATAAAAAGATATATTCAATTACTTAACAATATATAATTAAAAAGATTATATAAAGGATAATCAATTTTAATAACAAAATTTTAAAAGTAATTGAAAAATTTTAAGTATAATGAAAATTAAAAATAAAATGAAATTTGGATTAAATATTATACATTGTTTCTAATGTAAAATAGTATATACGATATTTCATTTGAAAAAATTGTTATATGATTTTAATTTTATGAGTAATAAATAAAATTTAATATCAATGGATTAATAAGAATCAGCTAGATCAATCAATATAAGTGTTATATGAAAATATTATTAGTTTAGGTTCTTCAAGATATTCTGATAAATTTTAACCATAATTAATACAGATCAATTAGTAGCAAATCTAAAAAAATATAAAGGATAGTTAAGAATTTAGTCCCATAGATGAAAAATCTTAAGAAGACATTGTGAAAGAGAAACAATAGAGATAAAATAGAGGCAATTTTAAAAAATCCTTAAATTACAATGTATGAATATTTTAAAATTAATTTTAAGTCAACATCAATAAACCCATAAGATAAGGGATAAAATATTAGAGGTAATAAAATCATGTAGTTGATAAAGCATAAGAATTTTATACTAAAATTTAAAGAGAAATTATTTCATTTGGGTCATATATATCCAAGGAAACCTAATGAAAAGCTATCTCATTTTTTGGAAGAGTAATATATCCATTAAAATCATCATCATTCTAAATAAAGTTAATAAGAATAAAAATTTGAATAAGGGATTATAGAACAATATTAAAGTGTTGAGAATGTTTAATAAGGAATAAGAATACCTATAATAAATCCAACAGGTAAATTTTATCTATTTTGGTAATTATTAAGATTGATATAAATTATTTTTTTATTATGGTGGGTTCCATTTAAAATCTCATTTAATCCTCCTAAGACTTCTACAATGTCATAGATTGAAACTATTTTAATCTATCTTTTTATAGCTGATTTGTTAATAAAATTAAATAAAGGGATGATTGACTAAGGTTAAATTGTTTATAATAGATTTAGAATATTAAAGCATTATATTATTAATGAATTATATGAAGATGCAATATATCTAATAACATTGACACTTGTTATTGGTAATGATCCTATAGCAATATCTTTTTTTCCAGAAATAATAGTTTTGATTCAATTTACTTTTAATTTTATTAAATTAAAGAAAACAATTAATAGATATGGAGAAATGTTTGCAGTCTAATCAACATTTACAGAATTGGCTAGTTTATCATAATTAATAATATTAATATTCTATTTTGCTCATTTTATGGCATGTATCTGGTATTATGTTGGAAACATAAGTTAAGAATCATTTTCAAATTCTTGGATACAATAATAACATTTAGAAGATTCACCATTATTTCACAAATATGGATATTCTTATTATTGGGCCACAGCAACTATGGTTACTGTTGGATATGGTGATGTCACTCCATAAAATATATATGAAGTGATTTGTGCAATCATAATGATTTTTTTTGCAAGTGTTGTTTTTGCATTTTCAATAAATGCTATTGGAGTAATATTTTCAAATATTGACTTATAAAAATAATATTATAAACGAAATCTAATCTTAATAAATTAGTATATGAATACAAATGAGGTTTCATCATAATTATAGAGTAGAGTTCGTAATTATTTGAAATATTATTATGAATAATAAGTGAAAGGTAATAATACTGAAATTAATTCTATTCTTGAAAAGTTATCCTATAATTTAAAATAAGAATTATTAGAAGATGTTTAAATAAGAGCAATCACATGTGTTGACTTTTTCACAAAGAACTTTTAATCATCAACTATTCATTAGATTGCATGTAGAATGAATATATAATAATATACTCCAAGAGAGATTATATGTTAATAAAATTCTGTAGATGAACATTCTATATATATTATTTAAAAAGGTGAAATTTAAATAATTGATGATAATTCAGGAAAAGTTATTTAGAAATTAATTAAAGGATAATGTTTTGGAGAAATTGAATTTTTGACAACTCAGAAAAGGTAATACAAAGTTATAAGTACAACTTTTAGTTCCATTTATAGAATTACAAGAGAAATGTTTTTAGATATTGTATCAGAAAACTAAATAGATTTTTAGAAATATTGTGAATTAAGAGATAGAGTAATATTTCAATATTAGGATCTGCCAATCAAATGTTTTGGTTGTGATGGTGATCATTTATTATTAAATTGTCCTTATTTAACTTATAAACCAGAAAAGGAAGTTTTAATTAAAAGATAATTATATCATTCTATATAATAAAGATCTTAATTTCAAAGAAAGAAACTTAGATATTTAAGAGTATTAAATTAAAATGATGAACATGAACCACCTTAAAGAAGTTCAAATAAATAGATTGAACATGAATTATCTCAACTCTCTTAAGAATCATTAAATAAATAATATTCAAGTTTAACTGGTAGTGAACATAAAAATAATACAAATAATAATGAAGAAGTTGGTTAATAAATTAAACAACGTATATCATTATGGATGTCTAATCCAGATCATTCTTTTATAGAATAAAAAAGTAATTAAATTTGTTAAACTAGAATCTTTGCAGAAAAATAATTTAATTAATAGTGATACTCCAACACATAAACAAACTAGAAAGTCACTTTATATTTAATCATAAGATCATCATTCAAAAAAACATTAATTTCTTTAAGTTAATGAATAATAATAAATAATTAATTCCCCAAAAAATTCATAAATAAAAACATAAAAATAATAATAATATTTTAATTAATTAGAATATTTACAATCATACCATACATTCAATTATGAATTAGATAAAATTGAAATCTTTCAAATTTATTTTCCTTAAAATAATATCTAAAATGTTATTAGTATGTTTTAAAAGTAATAAAAGCAATCTAAATTCTATAAAATATAATTAGTTACCAATAAATATCGTTTTATTTATGTGTAGAAAATACCAATTTAATAAATACCTAAAAAATCAATGCAAAAAATAAACAGTTATATTTGATTAAACTATAAATAATTATAAGATTACATATTTAGATTACATTTTTTTAATATTTATTTTCGTTTAATTACATTATTCTTAAATTCAAATTAAAATAAAACTGATGATTTGAAATGATAACTTAGTTCATAATAATATTTCAATAATTGTCAATCAAAGCAAACATCTTATTATATTAATATATAATAAATAACATCATAGATATTAAACAATCAAATAATAATATTTCTTTTTTTATAAAAAAATCCCTAGAAATGTAAAAATCATGAAAATATATAATCCCCCTTTTTATTTTTTGAATGGAGTGTTATTTATACAAATTTTATAAGTTTTGAAGTAAATTTCATTATTGTGAGATTGCTTTTATCTTTTGAATTAATTACTCTAAAATAACTTTTCAGTTATAATTGTTTAAATAATTAAAGGAAAAATAAAAATAGACTTTTAACTTAAAAATACACGTTTTTATAAGATTGATAGATTTTGTTAAATAGAGACACTTTAAAATTAAAATTATATATAAAAAAAACAGAAAACTTTCCCTAGAACATACAAAAAATAAGAAAAATAATGATTTATTTTATTTACTTTAATTATCAATTTCTTTATAAACATGGATAATTAACAGATTATTAGGTTTACTTTATATCAATATTATTAATTTATACGAATGTCAAGATTTTACAACTCTAATTTAGATGAAATTCTTTCTTCTAGAATTATAATTGAAGGTGCTACTCCTCAAGTTAATCCAAAGAATTTATCCAACTCAGAGATTTAATTTTAAAGCGAAATTAGTAATATCGAAAGTATGAGATCAATCAATCAAGAAATCAAAAATAAAAATAAGCTTATTTAGAAAAACTCTTAAATCTTTTCTCTCAAGTTTTAAGTAATTGTATATTTAACATAAGCAACCTGCACTTGTAAATAGCAAAAAACAAATTTAACATAGCTTATTTAAGATTGAAAATAGTCAAGATGGAAAATTAAAGTAAGTTTTGAATAAATAAATGCTCAAAAAATTCAAAGATAATTTATTACAAAATGCACATATTTTATCCCACAACTTGTTATTAGAGAAAAAATCTCTCCTTGATTACTTATTTCTAGATTATGCCTTATAAGATGGTAGATAAATAAAAAAAAATAATATTATTTCAAATAGTCGAGAGAAACTTCTATTCTTTTAAGTTTACTTACCATAAGACAAATTTGTGAAATATTGGAATTTATTTAGCATCCTATTTAGTTTTTTCATTTTGTGGTTTTCACCATTCATTATATCTTTTTAATTATTACATAAGTCAAGTGTTTAATAAACAATAGTATTTATTTTGATCTTTTTATTGATTGATGGATTGATTACATGTAATAAAGCATATCTCAAATAAGGAGAGGTAATATAATTGATTTATAAAAATAGTTAGTAATTAATAGAAAATAGATAATAAATAATTATTTAAGAAATTAAGTACTTAGTGATTTTTTAAATCTTTTAATATGGATTTTGATGTATAATGGAATAGAATAGTTTTAAATAATTGAAATGTTGTCTATTTTTTAGATAATCATTATTATTAATAGTCTTTATAAAAAAATTAATAGTTTTGTTGATTATTTATATTTGAATGGTAAATTAAGTGAAGTATTGGATCTAATATTTCTAATAATTTCATTATATTATTTTGTTCATATTATAGGATGTTATTGGCATTATTTAGCAGTATTAGGTGAGTAATTAAATGAAATTTCATGGATACAGAAATATTCACTTGAAGATCAATCTTATTTAATTAAATATGATTACGCAGTCTATTGGGCTACAATGACAATGGTAACTGTTGGTTATGGTGACATTACTGCATCAAATCCTATTGAAATTGTGTTTTCAAATTTTACTATGTTTATTAGTAGTTTTGTATTTGCTTATTCAATGAATTCTATAGGAATTATTATTAAGAATCTTTATGATGAACGAAATTTATGCAAGTAAAGTATATCTATATTATTAAAGAAGGTAATTAATTTTAATTAATGCCTACATGAAGAATAATTTGGTTGATGATTCTATATCAAATAGAGTTAGAAATTACTTAAAGAACCAAGTTGATCATGAATCTAAGAATAATTAAATGGAAGTATCTATCCTATTAAGAATAATAGGCTTAATAAATTATAGATAATCTACCTCATGGTCTAAGAGATGATATTAACACAAACATAAAGACTAGAATATTATAAAATATGAAATTATTAGTAAATAACTTCTCGAAATAAACACAATTTTAAATAATTCATAAACTTGAATAGATTAATTTTATACCAAATGATGTTATTTACGACCCTGAAACATTAAATATAGATTAATATCTGTAAATATTATAATTGAATATATAGATATTATTTAGATTAAGGTACAGTAAGTTTAGTGGAATAGCGAACTTAGAAGTAAATCTAAGCATTTAAAGAAGGTGATACTTTGGGGGAACATTCTTTTATTAATGGATTGACTCAAAAATTTAAGTTAATTAGTACAAGTTTCTGTTAATTATACAGAATATCTCGATAAGATTTTTTGAGAGTGCTTTAAAATAATTAGAAAGACAAAGAAATTTTCTATTCTTTATAAGATTAATTACTATATCTATCTGATTATAGTCTTATAAACAAGAAATGTAATTTATGTAATAAATTTGACCATTAAAATTGTGATTGTTTCATAATATCATATAAACCTAATTTAGAAAAATTAGTTAAAATGTCTGAATTCTTATTCCAATCAAGAAGTTAATTCAATAGAAATTAGCGTTAAAAACTTAAAGTTATAAATTCAATTTAAGTACTATATTAATTTATTAAGGGAATTTAAAGTACAATTTTATAATTTTAATAATGTGAAATCACAACTAATTAGAATGAATCCAACACAATTATTAGTGGAACTAAAAGAATTAAATAGTTTTCTACTTAAAGATAAAGTGATAATAAAATCGAATAGCCAGAATTATCTAATCCAAGTGACTAATCTCCTGATGTATAAATAGATAAAATGACACATCGCAAACCATCATCTAATTTTACTGGAAAATTTAATATGTAAAATCTAAAGAGTATGGATAATAAAGATGCTTAAAGAAAGATATCAATAGCTATACTTAAAGAATAAACATTAAATCCAGAATATACTAGTTAATAAATAATTTAATTAAGATCAATTAAAAATTTCTCTAATACTGCTATCTTAGAACCTGAAGATAATAATAAATTAATAAAATTTATAAATCTTGACATTGATAAAATCTATGAATTTTAAAATTATTTACCTTAAAATAATTTTTAAAGTGTTATTTTAAACTACAATAAATAAAAACTTAAATTTATACCAGTTTACTCAAAAAATATGAATAGGTCTTTGAAATATACATTTTATTATAAAATCGCCAAATTAGCATGTTAAATGAGAATGATATCTGCTCCAATTACACGTAGATTATTAAAATGTCATTAAATAAAAAAACCTAAATGATTTTTGAGTTAATTTCTGATGATAATATTATGAATATAAATCAGAATTATATATTATTATAAACCATTTATTAATTTATAATAAATAATTTTAAGATTTACAATTATTTTATTAAATATCTCTATATATATATTGATTCTATGGGATTTTTATTATATAATCATTAGAATAGAGTATTTCTTATTGATATGAAATTTTAATGTATTAATATATAGTTGTTTAAAAATTAAAAATTATTTACCCTCCTTTAAATGTTTGAAAAAAAAGAAAAAGAAAGAATTAATAATAATTTGAAAAATTAAATGTTTACTCCACCAAACTTTGCTGCTCATTCTGCCTTACATAAAATAACTAAAATCATGGCTAGAATATTTTAGTTATATGATAAGTTAAAAATTGAAAGTACAATAGAAATACCTAAGTCAAATTAAGTAAGAATTTTAATTCAATTTAGAAATTAAGTAAAACACTAAAGAACCTTTATGTAATGAATCTAAATGATGAAACTCTCATCTTAGCTTTTTATTTTGTTGATTAAATAACTAAAAAGCTAAGAATTTTTCTTAACTTAGAAAATAGTACTGGATTATTAATTGGATCAATTATAATTGCTGATAAAATTCTAAATGATTAACCTAGAAATATTGAGAAATATAAATTGGCTAGTGGACTCAAAAAAGAATAACTTATTTAAATAGAAACATATTTTTTAGAAACTTTAGATTACAATCTATTTGTTTCTGAAGAAAATTTCTAAAAATACTATAAAAGAGTATAAGATTATTGATTAAATTTTTTACTCTTTTGTTTTCTACTTTACAAATTTTTGTTTGAGATTTATATTTTATTTATTAATTATATTTATTAATATTATAAATGGGTTGTCTCTTTGGAAAAAAATAATTAGTTAATTAAGAAAGTGAAATAAGTCAAGATATTTCAATAAAACTAGATTCAAGTGCTTTCAATATGCAAAATGAATCTAAATTCTTAGGTGATAATAATATAATATTTAAGGTTATCCATATTATTCTACATTGACAAAAAAATTAGGAGAGATTGTTCATTTAAAAGTAGCTGAATGGTCATAATATGAGAATGAATTAAATGATCACAAAAATAAATTCAAAAAATATATACAATTAATGGATGCTATTATGGAGAATTAAGATGTATTGTAAAATATTAATAATTTTGATCAGGAAAATTGAAAATCTTCCTGAAGAATTTAATAGAGATTTCAAACCTTGTCTTATTATTGATATTCAAACAGGCAATTTTAAGATTCAAGGAACTGAAACTTATTATTATGTCGTAATATCATTAGGAAACAATCAAATTAAAGAATAATTAACAAGTATTTAAAAGAGTTCTAAATAAATGGAATGGAATGAAGTTTTCATATTTAATTTAGATGATACTAGTTTAAATAATCAATTTAAACTATAAATCAAATAACAAAATAAAGTTGGAGCAAAAGAATCTAAATCTGTTGGACATAGTATCACATTTACTTTTGAAGAATTAAAAGAGTAGATAATCAATGAGAAAATCATTAGACTAAAAGAGAAAGAAGATATTATTGGAAGTTTATAAATGAGGTAAAACTTAGTCTATGTAGATGTTAATTGATACATGATGTCAAAGATTTTGCTTTATAATGGAAGAAAGAACTCATTTATAGAGGTTAACAGATAGATAGGATCTTGTAAAAGAGTAAACTCAATTCAAATGACAATGATGTACAATTTCAATCTTTGATGTCATTTCACTCAAATAGATAACACAATGAAACTGTGTATGATTTATAATTTGAAGTTTAATGATATAAATAAACAATATATTAAACTCTTCTAATATATGTATCATTTATGAATACAATCAAGGAATATAAATAATTATTCATTTTGCAGACTAACTTTGATTTTATTATTAAATTAACTAAAAATGGTTTATAATTCTAATATAACTTTTTCATATTTAATTAGAATTAATGAATTTTATTAAATATCAAGATATTAATACTTTGTTTTTAAAGTTCATTAATTTTTATCATATTATTAGATGATCAGTAAAATATTCAAAAATTCTATATTAAAAATTATTGATAATCATTCAAGTTAGAAAATTATATAAAAAATTACAATGTCATTTTCATATGTACAGTACTTCTATTCTTAAGTGTTTTCTTAAATAATTATTCAAATTATACATTAATTATAGAAGCTCTAATGAATTATTTACAATTATAATAAAATTCTCAAAAAGTACTAATTATCTGATGAATTAGTCTAATTCTAAAATAGAAAAACAAATCATATCTCCTAAACAATAATGTATGCTTCCAAGTCTTTATTGTGATTACAGTGCAAGGAAAAAATAAAAATTAAAGACTTATTTTCGATAAGAGTAATGTTCTTCAATAAGTCCTAATAAACAGATTATCAAGACATAAAGAGATCTTTTGAAGCAAATTGATTCTGAAAGAAATTCAGAACTTTATTCTTTTGAAGATGAAGTTAGCAGATCTTTTAAATTTTAAAGAAAGTCAAGATTGCATCAAAGAAATAAAATCTTGAATCAGCCAATTCAAAATAAAAAACTTTTGTTAACAGATACTACATAAATTGAAACAGATACTCCTTATTTTAAAGATAAAGAATCATCTATTAGTTAATCTAATGATGAAAGTGAAGAGAAAAATGAAAATAAAATTGATGTAAAACTTGAAGGAGAGACTGGAAAAGCATTAAAATAGATTAGCCATAAAATAAGTAATTTTATGTTTTTCATTATTTAAGATCAAGAATTAAACAATTCATTTTATCATTTTATAAAAAAATCTGAAAAAATGAAAGATTTAATTCTAAATTTTCAGCAAAAAGACAATCTAAGTCCAATTCATTATTATTGCTTAAATGATAGCATATTTCCAAAAAGAATTGAATTGAATAAATAAGATGTTAAAGAAATTAATTTATCAGATTTAGGATTAACACCAAAATATATTCCATTGATTAGAAATTTATTAAGCTAAAAACGAGATAAAAATATCAAATCAATTGATATCAGTCAAAATAAAATTAATGAATGGTCATTAAAGTTATTAATTGATGTTTTTCCTTTAAAAGTCAAAACAATCAATTTATCTCTTAATTAATTAAACCGTCGAGGAGCAGTTCTTTTGTCTGAACATTTAAAAAACTTTGAAAAGTATAATACAATTATTACTCAGTCTGAGGTTCTTGAATTTAAAAGGAAATCAAATAGGGGATATAGGAACTGTAACAATTTTAGAAGCATTAAAACCAAGTTTGTAAATAAAAAAATTAAATTTATCAGACAATGCTATTTCTGATTCCATTAGCTATGAATTAAAAGAATTTATTATAAAAAATTAATCCTTATAAGTTATAAGTCTAAATTGGAATTAATTAGGCCCTATTGCTGGATTATTTATAGCAAAAGGATTAAATTACAATAAATCAATTAAGGTAGTAGATTTAAGTTATAATAAAATTGGATAGAGTGATAATAATTATGAATGTATTAAGGAATGGTGTTCATTGTTGAGTAATACATATACAGAATTAATTCATCTAGATCTATCTTATAATTAATTTAATGAGAAATAACTTCAATTAATTAATTATTCAATTTTAAAGAATTCTCGTTTATATGGATTACATGTTGAAGGAAATAAATGTTTGGCTCATGTAGATCCTTTAGGATTTATATAATTTCCATAATAAATCAAAGGATAATAAAGTATGTAGCCAAAACATTAAAATATTGATGGTGTTAATTTTATACCTATGTTAAATGAGAATGAAAATGGATCTGATTGTTGTTGGATTTGTTAAGGATGGATGGAATATCATTTTATTTATGAACCTGAACCAGAAGAATCTAAAACTGATTCTATTTATTTGCATTTAGATTTTTTAGAGTAAAACCATTTGAGTATATTAGTTTCAAACCTATATCTATGACAACAAGTAAAGAATTATGGAAATAAATAAGTAATAAATTTAACAGTACTACAGTATTGGAAGATTTAACAACAGGAGAAATAATTCATTAATTAAAATATGCTTTTAGTGCTGGTAAAATAATTACAATGACTGCTATAAATGATGCTTATACAGAAGATAATAAAATTAAGGATGACATGAAATCAATCTTATCAGAATTAAATTCAAAGTTTTTTTTCACTTCATATTAAATGTGTCCTCCTAATTAAAAAATACTTTATTTTTTTTCAAATCCAACTGGAAAAGGAATATTTATTAATCCAAGATTTCCAATAATATAATTAAGATCTAATGAAAATATTGAATTGATTATGGATAAAGAGAAAGTATTTTTTTATCCTGATGGATCTCAGATATCATTATCTCAAGTAGATCAAGTTAATTATTTTTAAACTAAATAAATGTTTGTTATAGATTAAAAGAATTAATACAAACCTTTAGTAAAAGTAATTCCTAGATGTTTAGATAATAAATACTTTTTAAAAAGATTTGCTGTTGATGCATCTAAACAAAAATCAAATTTAATTTATTGGTAAAAAGAGTAATCAGCCTTTAAATCTTATTAAGGAGACACTCAAGATGTTTTGGATGAATGTTTTTAATTTGATTGGACTTGTATGGGAATATAACATTTTCTAAAAAATGAATAAGAAGTAGAAAAAGTAATTGAGATTATGAGATCACATTATCCAAAACTAAAAGATATTTATAAATATTATTCAAGTTTTGGATATAATGTAAATAAATAATAGAATGGTTATCAAGTAGAAACATTCAATATTCCTTTAAATTTAATTTATGATCTAACTTAAGAATTACTACCTTAAGATATATAAATTGAAGAAGTATAATCTTAAGTTAATTAAATTAAATACAATTGTGATTCCAAATTTATATATAATCCAGAGAAGGGTTTTGTTAGATATTAATTTATTGAATTTATTTTTAGAATAGCTTTATTAGTAACAAAATAAAAATAGAAACCTAAATAAATTGTAGATGAAGTTTATCGAATATTTTAAGTATTGACAGAAAGATTTGCAGCATTTGATAATTAATAGTAATGGAGAGAAGAACGATTATGGACTAAAGAATGTGGAAATTTAATTTATATAAAATAAGGTTTTATTTAAAGATTACATGATTATGTAGCATGTATTAAAAATAAGAAATGGACATTTAAATTAAAATGGATAGCATTAACAGAATTTATAGACTTTTGTAATTAAATGGGATTTTAATAATTTTTGAGTGACACTCAATTAAAAATCATTTATAATTTTGCAATGTAAACTCATTAGGATGAATTAACTTAAGATAGACATTTAAGAATGTCAACTGTTGAGTTTACAGAAGCTTTAGCTAGAATAGCTGAATTTATTAGTCCAAATGAAAATGATATTAATAATATTTCAATTAATAGATTGATACTTCCCTTACATATTAAATTAGAAAACCTTTTAACTCACATTTTTAATACTTTAAGAATTCTTAAGTATTTATATTTATATATAAAGAGTGAATAACTTTGAGAATTTTAGTATATACTTTAGTTTAAATCCAATTCCAATTTTACCAAAAGTTCATGAACTTTAATAAGATTAATATGAATGTACAACCTAAGAATTGAGAATTTATAATACTCTTTCTTATTTGAGTAATACTTTTATTTATTTTATTAGAAATGTTTAAAATTCCTTATTTGAATCCAAATTATAAATAATTTTTGGAAATACCTTTTTAATTAGTTTAAAATTAAAAATAAAAGAGAAGTATAGTAGAAAGATAGATGACTCAAAAATAGAAACTCTTAAAGTTGAAGGCTACATTATAATTACTATGATTATAATTTTTGATATGTTAATTAATAATTTATAAACTAATGAAAAATAGTCTTGAAAGATCTAAATGTTCATTGCCTCGATTAAAAGATTACTCAAAGGAGAAAGCAGAAAAACTTAAATCCTTTTTTCGATCCAATCGAAGCATATCAGAAAATAAGATTATTCAAAGTAAACTAAAAACATCTAAATTGCTGTATAATGATGAATTTTCTGATGATCATAATGTGATGGCATATTATATGAAAAGTAGTGAAAAATTGTTTGGAATGAGATAGATGATTAATAGCACTTCATTAAAATCAGATTAAGAAGAAACTAAAAAGAAGAATTTTCCTTTAGGTTTGTTAAAACATAGTTCTTCACCTTTAAAATAAATAAAAACAGAAACAGAAGTAGAACAATTTAAAGATTAAGATTTAAATAATTAAAATGAAATGGAATGTTTATCATTTTAATAGGAAATAAGCCAAAACGAGGATTAAGATTATGATATGTTAAGTGAAGAAAGTAGTAGTGATGAACCAAAAAGATTTGATGGAATAGAATTACAATAAGAAATTAAAAAAATATAGCATAAACTACGTAAATATGATATTTAATTAATAGATTAAGAAATTGATTAATCTTATTTCTATTTCATTAAGCGATAAGATAGATTAAGAGATTTGGCCATCAATTTCAATAAAAAAAATGTAGATCCTATAAATTTTTATTGTCTTAATGATAATATTTTTCCAAAAAGAATAGATCTATCAAATAGTCTAATTAATAATAAGGAGATGCATTTTTCTGATCTTGGATTAACTGAGAAATATTTTCCTTTAATAAAAAATCTATTATAATCAGTTAAGAGTAAGGCAGTCAAATAACTGTTCTTATGTAATAATTAATTAGATGACAAATCCTTATTGTATTTGATAGAAGGATTTCCTATGGCATTAAAAGAAATAAATTTAGGGAATAATGTTTTAGGGAGAAGAGGAGCAGGTATTATTGTAAGCCATATTTAAAAATTTCTTAATTTAAAATCATTAAATTTATAAAATAATCTATTAGGAGATAAAGGAGCAACTTTATTACTTAGTAGTATATAAAGGAATATGACTATTATAAAACTAAATTTGTCAGAAAATTAAATTACTGATTCATGTTCTACTGTTTTTTATTAGTTTTTATTGTAGAATAATTTTATTGAAAATTTAGTTTTGAATTGGAATTAATTGGGATAGACTACTGGAACTATGATAGCAAAAGGTTTATAATAAAATAGATCTGTAAAAGTTTTAGATCTTAGTTATAATCATTTAGGATAGAATGAAAGAAGTAATTGTATATAATGTTGGTGTGAAGCAATTAGTAATCCACAATTCTCTTTAGTTCATTTGGATATTTCATATAATTAACTTAGTGAAAAATAATTGAAATAATTTAGTTAAGCATTATTAAAAAATAATAGTTTATATGGTTTACATATTGAAGGAAATAAATGTTCTGCAAAAATAGATCCTTATGGATTCATTAAATTTATAAATGATAGTGAAGAATTTAAAGTAGTATAATAAAAAAAAAATGTTATAGATGGAGTAAACTACATTCCAATTTAAGGGGATAATTTATTTGGAAATGATTGTTGTTGGATTTGTTAAGGATGGATGGAATATAGATTTCAATACAATCCAGAAAATGATAGTAATTAAGATCCAATCTTTATACATCTTGATTTTTTAGAGTAAAATTATAATTAACTAATAGTTATTAGCCAATTCCTATGACTAGTAGTTATGAATTAAGATAATAATTAATTGAAGCATCTAAAAGAAAAAGTAGTTAATTAGATCTTACTACAGGTGAAATTATACATTAATTAAAATAATTGGTTAATTCTGAAAAAAGGATAACTTTGGCTGCAATAACAGAAGCATATACTGAAGAAACAAGTAAAAAGAGTGAAGAAATTACTAAATAAATGATATAAGAATTAAGTAGGTTTTATTATACTACATATTAAATGTGTCCTCCTAAAAAGAAAATATTATATTTTTTTTCTAATCCTATTAGAGAAGAATATTTTATTGATCCTAGAGTGATGAATATGTCTGCTCCTTTGGATGATTTAATACTTCAAGGCAAAGACCCTAAACACTCTATTCATATATTTCAAGATGGAACAAAATTGGCATTTAAGAAAATATAATTTGTTAATTACATTTATTCAAGATAAGAATATATAATTGATGACAAAGATAATTATAAACCATTAATTAAAGTATTTCCAAGATCATCATAAAAGAAATATGTTTTAAGAAGATTTGCAAATTGTTTAGTCAGAAAATAAGCTCATCTTATTAAATGGAATAAGGATGATTCTATTTTTAGACCATATATTGGAGATACAGAAGAATTACTAAATGAATGTTTTGAATTTGATTGGAATAGTAGTAAAATTAGTAGATTTGTTAAAAGTGAGTATGAAAGAATAAAATTAAAAGAATATTTTAGATCTAATTATTAACTTTTAAAAGATGTTTATAAATTTTATTCTAGTTTAGGTTATTAACCTCCTAATTTTGATGTTTTTTGTATATAGATTCCTTAATATATGAAATTAATCAATAAATTAGCCATTATTGATGGGGATTTGTTAAAATAGTAAGATGTTGAAATTGATATTGTTTCATTAAAAAATAATATTGATCCTAAATATATTTACAATCCTGATAAAGCATTAGTAAGATATTAATTTTTGGAAATGTTTTTCAGAATTGCTAATGACAAATATATTAGAAATGATATTTATAAAAGTTATGCTGATGCTCTTTTTAGATTATTAAAAGAATTTAAAGAATAATATGAATATTTTGATAATATTTAAGAATGGAGAACTTAAAGATTATGGACACGTGAATGTGATCATTTATTATAAATTAAAATGCCTTTTGTGAAAAAACTATATGATTATGTTACAGATATTGCTAATAGAAAGTGGTATTTTAAATTAAAATGGATTTCAATTAGAGAATTTAAAGAATTCTGTAGATAATTTAATCTTCATGAATATTTATCAGAAAAATAATAAGTTATCATATATAATTTCTCAATGATGACTCAAGTTGATGAATTGACTTTAGATAGAAATATAAGAATGACCTTTATTGAATTTGTAGAAGCATTAGGACGGATAGCTGAAAGAATTAGTGCTGCTCCTATCACTGATTCAATTGATAATTATACTATATTATAGAGATAATTGTTGCCTTTACATATTAAATTAGAAACTTTATTGACTTATTTATATTATTAGATGAAATAAAAAGATATAGAATTTGAGTAGTTTTGTGATTTATTTGTATATTTCAAACCAGATTAATCACCAAAGATAAGTATGCCAAAAGTTGATAAAACTAAGAAACCAGAAAAAGATCATGACTATCATAATGTAATTTCTTCATTTACACTTTATAATGCAGTCTCTTATTTAAGTACTTTATTCTATTAGTTTAAGATTAGAATAGATAGCCTTATCTAAATCCAAAATATAAATAATATTTAAAACAAAATGTAATCCAAACAGCTCCTATTCGCCCTTTTTAACATATTTTTTAAAGCGATAAAATACGAAAACCAAGATTGATTCCAGATCCTTAAAATTTGGAATTAAGATCAAATCATTAATTATAAAATAAATAATAAAGTCCAAATATGTAAACTACTCTCTCTTAAAATGCATGATTATATATTGTAAATTTTATATAAAAATTTATCAAAAAATAAATATAAAACTTAAAGAAATATTTATGTGTTTTAATAATTTAAACTCAATTCAAATGTGAACATTATCTCTATTTTAACTCTTGGAATACATTTTCAATTCTTCTCTTATGAATTCTTTGTTCATAATATTTGGAATTTATGGTAAATGTTTCCTAATTTCATCATATTTCTAAATTAATTCAAATGATATATCATAATTAGTTTGTACTAAAATATATGCTATTGATTTTAGATGTTTAAGAGAATAAAACAAATCTCCAAAATATCCTTCCAATTCTTCTGGATCTTCTAATTATTTCACACTACTTTCAATGTTGTGATTTAATTGACGTAATTAAGAATTTTCATCTGTATATCTCTCTAAAGTAGAAGATGGTACATTCATTAATATATATATGTGTTATTGCTTTAACCCAAGATTTTCCAATTCTTTAAGTAAATTGTATTCTTAGAAATAGTAATAACGTATGTCTTTCTTAAATGATATAACCAACAATTAATCAATCTATTTGATACTTGCTAATTTTATTGGATTGGATGTTGTTTGAATTATCTATCCTACTTCTTAAGATTTTTAAAGATGTTAATCTATATATATAGATGCAGGACCATATTAAGCTATGATTATAGCTTAGCTTTGACTTAATATTGAATTAGGTAATTTTATTTCAAGAAATTAGAAACTTATTTGTTCCTAATCTTCCTATTATTCCTATTATTATATTCCTTCAAATTATTACATAATATTAATCAAATTTATATTATAATTAATTTCAATTTCAGAAAATGTATTTAATTACAATATATCCTTATATTTATAATTAAATAATATATTTTACAAAAGACAAGACAATATATTATAATTTTAATATTTTGTATTTTTTGGTTTATGATATCTTTTTATAGTGACCATAAATAGAATAATTAGGATTTTCAATTATATATTAAGTAAGAGAATTTTTAAGGTTATGAAAATAATAAAGAAAGATTGAATTTTAAAATTTATAGATAGATAGAAAATTGATAATTGTCAACTTTTTAGTTTGATTAAATCAAACATATTTGGTAGTTATAACATTTTTGTGCTAACACTTTCAAATTACTTGTCTTCTTCATCAGAAATACATAATGATGAAATTTATCTATAAAATTCTCTTTTTATTGAGGATCTTTCTAATTCAGTTTGTACTTCTTATATACCTTCTAAATTTTGAGGTTAATGAATAATTATTTTAGTTTAATTTGTATTTTGATTATTTGAGTCTTTTTAAGGTTATTAAAATTATTGTTAACTTGATTATTACAAATTCATTTTTTTAATCTAGAAATAGTATATAATTTATATTATTACCCAATCATATTAAAAATCTTTTTCATTAATATTCAATTACTGAAGTAAATTTCTAAAGAGTTTTTTTAGGAATTCATAATCACCTAAAGGATATTATTAAACATTAGTCATTCTAATAAATTAAAAATATTAAAGAATTTCTATAGGCATATCTTTACAATATTTTTCAGGAATCATTCTCAACTTTTATTCTTCCATTTTTTTAATTTTAGATCCATTTTCTTTAACTTTAAACAAATCTCCTTTTTTAAGGAAATACATCAATATAAATCCTAATGATTCTAGATCATCTTTTGGTGAAGCAGCTATATATACAAATAGAAATATATACTTAAACCTAAATGTTAATTTAGACTAGAATATTTGGTTAATTTATTGAGATTAGAAAATTTGGAAGCATATCCTATAAATTTACCATTTTTATGTTTGTATTTAGTAGAATGTTAGAAATCAATCAGTACTAAATCATTTTTGCCAAGTTGTGTTAATATTTTTTTTGGTCTAAGATTGCAATGTACTATTGATTGATTATGGAGTTTTTCGAGAATATTTAACTAAATAAGAGATTTTACAATTTACAATTTGTATAGCAATCATACAAATGGTTGGTAATGTGAATTCATAATTAACAAATTAGAAACACAGTTTAAGACTTGGTCCATATCTGTCAAATACTTAATAATAATAATTAGTATTCTGAAGACGAATATCTCCTGAAAGTTAGAGTGTAGGTATATATGGAACTGAAAATATTATAAGTTAAATACTTACCATTAGTCAACTTTTTAAGTAGTTTTTCTTCCTCTTATAAACTGTCAATGTTTGTGTTTGCCTATCAGGTAAATGAACTAACAATAAAATTTAAAGAATTATTTACATTACCAATCTGACAATGAAGTAGTTACCTGGTTAAACTTGATTAATGGCTGTAAATATAAAAGTATAAATATATAAGGATTACCCAAATACCAATTATGTTTTTTACCTCTGTATATGCAAGTTTTCAATACATAATGTTATCCAACAATGATTAGATTCTATTTTTGATAGCTATCTTTTGATTTAGTTTCACTCATTAATAATAAATATAATGAAAAGTCTGTAGGATATTCATAAAAAGAATCAACAATAGAGAGCAACATTCGCTCTCATGAACCAAATGAATAATCGTACTTAAATGGGATGGTTCACTCCTTAACCCTCGAATGATTTACAATCTCCTTTCGGAAATAGTCTTAGTTAATTCTCTCAATAAGGTTCAGAGCATAATATAATCCATAATACTCGTGGTACTTTACATTCTTGGAGTTAATCTTTAGAAAGATAAATACAATCTAGAGAAATTGCAAGGTAAGTAAGAAAGTAGAATGCTCAATAATCAGCAAGATAAGAGAAACATTTCTTTGGAGCAATTAATGGCATTCCTAAAATCAATTCACCTAAAACTTAAGCAAATTAAACAACTTCTATGTTTCAACCCAATTTAATAAAAGTTGATCCAAAAATAAAAAGACAACTTAGTGAAATGAGTAAAAGAAACTTCCTTCATTTTCTCTTAGTCTAAAAAGTCGGACATGTAAATACTGTATATATATGTAGAAAGATGAAAAATAATTTTATGAGTATTTAAAAAAGACTTATAATTTTGAACCTCCTTAACCTATTGAGGAATAATAAATTAAAGTCTCTAAAAAAGGCATAAAATATTTATTTACTAAAGAAGATGATGATGAAACAATCAAAAAAACAAGTTAACAAATCTTGAGAATGAACAAATTACATCATGGAAGAGAAATACCACTTGATAAATATGTCTAAGATACTTATGAATAATAATTGAGAAGATTTCCTAAAGTAAGAGAAAAACTCGAATCATCTAAAAAAAGTCATCTAGAATAATGATAATCTTAATTTTAACATATCATATTTATCTTAATTCATTTTCTAATTTAATAAATTTCTCATCTTGTATTGTATAAACAGATTTAAAAGTCCAAACATATTTTTTATTTATAAGATTCACTTCAAAATTCATTATCAAATAAATCAATAAACATTTAATTTCCATTAATGCCATATGTTGACCTATAAAATTTCTTTTTCCAATTCAAAATGATAAAAATATAAATGGATCAATAAACAATTAATTTCATCTATTTGGATTGTAAATAAAAGGATAATATCTTAATTATTTTGAATTAAACTTATGTTTATTTCTGAATTCTTTTTCAAAAATAATCTATAATCTTATTTAACTTCCCTTTCAACTAAATTTGATACAGGAGTATACATTCTCATAAATTTATTGATAAAATTTGTTATCTAACTTCATATATTAATGTTTTCACTATTCAATTATTAGTCATTTTAATAATGTTTTTAGATTTCTTATTTCAATTATCATTAAAATTTAAAATGAATAGCCAAAGCATAACAACATGATCCAAACAGATTACTAGTTTTATCTACACCAACAAAGATTAACATCATATATTGTTGGATTGCATGCTCTTCAGTTAATTTTGGATTTTGTTCTAAAATAATTAATAATTTATCCGTATTGTATTAATATATGCTATTAAAGAATCTGCTGGTTAATTTTACATTTATTATCTTTCTTTAATTGAAGCACTCAATATGTCTTTGATTCCTTGCAGTCTTTTAAAAGCTAATGCTCCTTTTTATATATGGTTCAATTAGGATAATCTCTTGTACCAAATATAAAATGTTTTGTCATACATCGAATCGATCCTTCTCTGTATAGAGTAAGGATCTTCACCATCACATCCACAAATTCAGATAAGAATTATTTACCTTTAACTTCCTTGAAACTTTAACTAAAGAACGACTGTGTAATTACTTTTCCAATAATACTATCTGATAAGTTAATTATATTGATTGGTTCGTTTATGTTTGTAAATTCTCTAAGCTATTTGAATTCAAAAGATTTTTATAGCACTCTTTAGCTAATTTCCAATCTTCTCCTTCTTGAAATGCCAAAACCTTTATAATTTCAAATATATAACTAAATAAAACATTCTTTCACCAAATACTATTTTCAATGACTTTCTATAAAGATCCTAATTCTATATTATGAATTTGACATGTTCTATTAAAAAAATCATATTTCACACTGAAGAATGTATTACTCACTTAAATTTCAGGATTCATTTAAGGAATCAATTTCTCAAAATATAGTATATTTTTGTGTAGCTTTAATCCTCTTTTGAATTAAATAATTTTTCCCAATAAAGGATAGTACATCAACTAAATTTTCTTTCCGTTTTTATCTTCATGAACACTTAGAATAAAGGTTTCAAAATAAAAAGTGCCACAAGGATAATTATGTACAATATTATTTCTTTATTTAAAATATTTATTGGATACATTATTTTTTATTTTTTCACATATAAGGAATATATGATATTGAATATTCCATAATTTTAAAATAATTATCATCAAACATAATAATATACTGAAGATATCTTTATTCAAATTAAGTATATGTACAAAAATATGAATATAAATATTGAATAATCTAATTTTGCTGCTTAATTATATTATTCAATATATATTATCAAAAAAAATCATATTAATGGCTTGAAGATTTAATTTATGATAAAAAATTAAATTAAGAATATGATTTTAAACAATTAATATTATTTAATAAAAAAGCATAATTAGATAATCAAAATTAATTATATACATATCTAGATTAAATTTTATAATTAAATAAATTAAAAACAATAGATATCAGTTTCTTCTTTTCTTTTTTTAATCTTCATATTGCTTAGGTAATTTTTTATATGCTATGTAACCCAAGAATAAAATAAATGAAATAAATATAAAGAACATGATGTATTGTAAAGATTTTACTGATTTTAATGAAAATCCAAATATTTTAGGTTCCAAATCAAAATTTCTTTTGAGTTATGAATCATCATCATCTTCATCATCCTTGGAATCCATAGCTTTTTCAAAATCCTAAATATATTGCCATATTTTTTCTTCAGCTTATGTTATATGCATATCAACTTTGTCATTACTATAATCTTCTAATGTCATATTTTCATAAATGAATCTGTAATCATCAAATTTGAATTCTTTTGATTAAATTTATGAGAAGATCTAAAATCATACATAATTTTACTTTGACACTATCATCATATGTTATACTCTTTTGACACTAACTAACATAAGATGTATATATTTTCTTCCATACTATACTTTATTCCTATTTGGTTTAATGACTATAATGATATGATGTGAATTACTACCTTTCAATAACTTTCATTAATTCAGACTTATATCTTGATAATTACATTCTAGCCAAAACAATACAAGAATAATTCAAAGTTTTTAATAAAGTTTATAAAGTATCTCTTTCTTTGATGATTTCTTCTTTGGTTCTTGATTTAAATTTTCCTTCTGTAGGAATGTTGTTGTTATTGTCATCTTTTGGAATTTCAGATTCCTACTAAGTAGTTTCTCCTTATTTGATGTCTTCCTAAGCTTAACTAATGACTAAACAAGCAATGAGAATAAGTATGTATAACTTCATCACACTTGTATAATTATAAATTAATAAATTTCTTAAGCAATTAATTTAAATTGAAAATTGATAAAAGTTAGTTAGTTAATCATTCATATAAACTAGATTATGTTATTATTAGTTTGATCTTAAAAATTAAACAAGTTTATTGATTTTATTATACTTATATAACATTAATAAATATTTTTTAACACCGTTAATGTCACATAATTTTGATGATAATAGTGTTAACATTCTTTTGAAGGAGATAGATGCTCTCATAAATAGAATGGGAGATTAGAATGATAGTCATAAAAGTGATAATTCTTTTAAAGATTCATTAAGATAGACAGGTAGATTTAAAGTTGAGAATGAATAGCCATGTGAAGTACCTAAGAAATTTAGCATGTCTATTTCAAAAAAATAAAATAATTCTTAATAAAAGAGAGTTACAATTGTTTCTTAGAAGAAATCATCTTCATCTTCATCTTCATCATCTGATTAGTAGTATTAAGTGAATAAAAGAAAACCTAAATATGATTAATAGAAGCAACAATCTAAATATAGTCCAGTAAAAGCAAAATGGGCTGGATCGTAATGCTCTTACAGATCTAAAGTTAAATAAGATCTTAGATGTGAAACTCAATCATAATTATCATAAGTGAAAAATTAAATAGTTGTGTAACCTGTAAAAGATGTATTTTGTTTAATTTGTGAAGAATTTATTCCCATAGATATAGTTAATTTTCATATGAATGATTGTAAATAAATCTCTAATGGGAATTGTGAAGATTCTATACTATAATTAAAATTAGAAAATTATAAGAAACTATTAAGTTTAAGATTTGAAGCAAGTTCTGATGATAATGTTAAACAATTGATTGAATTATTGTATAATTGTACTTAACAGATTCTTGATGTAACAGATCAATATTAGTTATCTCAAATAATAGAAGATTTATACATTTTGAAAACTCAATTAAATTAAAATAGTAAATAAGAATCTTATACTAAGTCTAGCCAAAGCTTATCATGTGTTGACAGTAGCATAAAAAATATAAGAAATTGCAAATAGAAAGATGTAAGTAATGGTTTCATAAAAAGAGAAACTATTAGTAGCTAAAGAACCATCAACAATTTTACATCAGAATAAAATTAGTTTCTAATAATAAGAATAATTAATTGAGTAAGATTAAATAATTAATATTTTGTTTAGACGTTAAACAGTTATAAGTTATGCTACTAATACTACTGCTAGAAAAAGATTATTTGAATCACCATCATTTTAAAATATGCCTAAATAATTAGTCAAAATCTCAAATTTAAATATGAAACCTATTTAACAAGTTTAAATTTAGAATAAATCACCTGTTAAATAAGAAATTAACAATTATAAAAATGGAATTGAATTTGGTAATAATTATGATTCTTCCAAAAAGAGATCTTTTATCTAATTATCTAATTCAAAGAATTTATCTAAACTTCATACAGAATAACATCATTAAGAGAATATAATCAGAGAGTCTGAACCTACTGTTATCTCTAAAATTTAATCATATATTTCAAATGTAAAAGGCAAATTCTCTAATGAAAATGAATTAATAAAAAAGAAGTTCTTCCTTTAAGCATGCAAATGTAAAGATAAATTTCCTGTAAATCATCCTTCTTAAAATGTACTAATATCTGAAATGTTTAATCAATGTTAAAGATAATAAATTCCAGAAAATGAATGGGAAATCTGGATTTGTAATGTTCTTGAAAATGCTTGATATATATTATACAATAACTTATATTAATTTCAATAATAATAAATTATAAATATTTATATATCTATATATATATAATACATATTAAAATGATAATTTATCATTTAATAATTACTCTACTTTCAAGACAATGGTAGGGTATGGGTACTAACTTAATAACACAATTGATAGGTATATCAATATTTGGTATTTCATTTATTTAATTACAATGATAATATGCATATAAACATCTAATTAGATTAATATAATTTAAAATACTTTAAAACAGCAACATGTGCTATAATTAAAACAGGTTCTCTTGATCTTTCTATTTCATAAATTATAGGTTCTACTCTATGTATTACATCTAAAAATGATTCACCACGAGGATATTTAAATTCAAGTGGATTAGCTTTCCTTTCTTTAATCTATTTTGGATATTTTGCTGCTATTTCTTTTACTGTTAATCCATCACATATTCCATAATCAATTTCATCTAAATTTTTTGTTTTTAATGCTTTTATTCCTAGTTTATCTCCTACTATTTCAGCTGTTTAAATACCTCTTTTCATTTAAGATGTAAAAAATGTAATCTAAAGATATTTTAAGATCTAATTACATTTTTATTTCCTTTTAATTCTTCAATAAAATAATCACCTAATTATTGACTATTTTATTTTCCTGTTACAGATAATTCTGGATCTCCTCCTATTTTATCAAGTAAATGATATTCAGTTTAACATGATCTTACTAAATATATTTATCTATTGTTTGCATGTAAATTCAAAAGAAATGATACTATTTTAGAACACAAATAACCCTCCAACATATGTACTTTCACTAATTTACCAATATTAATTAGTTTGATGTATGATAGATTTTCTATATTTTCAAGACTTTCGTAATTTTATGCTAATACATTTATGTAATTCATAAATTGTTCAATTGCTTAATCTTTAAATCTACTTAATTTAGATTCATTAATATTATTAAGAATTACTTAAGGATCATCACAAATTGATTCTATCCAAAATACTTAATATTCTAATTTTAGTTTCTCTTTAAATAAAGATTTTAACTTTTATCTATCTAACTTTGTACTTGTTAAACCATTATATAATGCAATATCTCCATCACTTTATAAAAATGACACTAATTCTTGAGCAGCTGTAAAAGATAGTTACTATCTAACTTCTGCAAACTAAATATTAAGATAAATCTTACTTACTAATTAGTTGGATCTATTTCTAATTCATAATCTATATTTTGATCTAATTAAGTATTGTTTTATTATGCTCCTTTTATAGAGAAGATTTCACTTTTATATCCAATCCAATTCAAATATCTATTTAATTTATAAGAAATGTGTGTTTTCCCTCTTGCTGGTAATCCAACCAATACTAAAATCAATTTATATTGACTCTTTTTATATTGTTGCATAATTAAATGTAATAATAATAATAATAGTAAATAATAATTTATTAAATTAGATAATTTCTTTAGATATCAAAGATTATTAAATAATTTACAATTATCTTCAAAAAATATTAATTAATTATGTAATTAAACATACATATTCAATAGTATACTTATTATTTTTAGGCTATTTATATATATATTAATCTAATTACTTTTTTAAGTTTATTAATTATAATAATTATAAAAATCTTTAATTAATAAAGTATATGAATATTAATTATAATCTTCTATTAATACAAGTTAATTTCTATAATATAATACTCTATTACTATTAAAATTATAGAATATAAAATATATATATATATATATATTAATTATTAGATAAATTTGAATGGTTAAAATGTTTATATTAATAGAAAAGATTAATGATTTTTAGTAATTGTATATTAAGTGATAAGTGTATATATTAATAATAATAATATTTTATATATATGAATTTGAACTGAATGATTTAGAGGTCTAATTAAATTAAATATTAAAAAAATGAGCGCTCCAACCACATTTACAAATCTAACTTTAGGAGGTTTCATTATTTTCTCATTGTTTGGAATTGCAGTATCCACTAAGTAAGAATTAAGTATATAAAGCTATATTCATATAACAATATTGAAGCTTCTTTTAGTAATAGTATTTGTAGTGAAAGCATATGAAGGAATATATAAAAAAAAGAATGAGAAACAAGTTATTATAAAGTCACCATATAAACAAATAAATTTTAATGCTTTTGAGAGGAATTAAGAATTTATTTAATAGCCAGAATATAGAGGTATATTGTATTAATATTATGATTAAGTTTAATAATCAGAAATGATTCATACTCAATCAGAATCTGTTGAAAGACAATTTCCAAAAGAAAAGGAAAGAATATTGAGTAAGGAATAAAGAAAGAATAATATGAAGATGCGTAATATATTTGATCATTATACAAATCAGATTTTTTGCAAGAATGTGATAATGGGGAATGGCAAATGCCATACAAAAATGGATCAAATAGACAATTTTATGCTGATGATACTAGATCATAATATAGTTTGGCTTAAACTATATCTTATTAATAAGTTCAAACATTAGGAAAAAGCAGCAGTTATAATAATAAATAATAAAGTGGTACTCCAGATTATGAAATTCAATAGAAGATTAAACATACAGAAGCAATTTTATAAAAATTAATTAAAAAAATGAGTGATGCTCATTAAAAAGCAGAAGAATTATTTATGAAGTCATTTATTCCAACATTTGTTAAAGAATTTTAAGATCATCTTGTAAATGTGAATAGAATGATGAAAGAGCATTTTCAATAAAAAATAATAGAAATAGATATCTTTTTTGCAAATAAACCTTATGATATTAATTCAAATAAACATGAGAAATCTATTGGATTTAAAAGTGTCTCAATGGAAGATGTTTTCTTTCTTAAAAATTAAATTAAGAGTAGATCTAGAGAACCAATAAGAGCACCAACAAATGTTGATAAATTTACAAAAGAGAAAGCAGAATTTATAAAGGAATGTGATCTTTTAGAATTATTTTGTAATATTTTAGATGTAACATTGATTAACAGAAAAATAACGAATGATAAAAAACTATTCTTAACTAAATTAATTGATTTTTCAGAAAATAATTGTAAACCTTAATATCTTACAGATGGTTTGAATGATAGAATGATTAGCGATTATGAAGTAATATTTTATTAATTATTAAGTTACTCTTTACTGTTTTTATTAATGTTTTATTAAAATGTATTAGATATGAAAAATAGAAGTATAGTAAGGAGAATAATGAAATTAATATAAATGCATTAAAATCTATTGAAATAAGTTTAATTGGAATTGAGAGTTTAGGAAATACAGAATAAGAATCAATTAAATAAAATGAACCTAGTAATGGATAAGTAAAATAAAATGAATCATTAAATGGTACTCAATCACAAAAATAAAGTGAATAGATTAAGTAAAATATATATAATATAAATTAGAAATCTAATTATCAATCAAAAATTAGAATAATATGTTTCTGAACCTCAATTTCATTATTATAGTGATTGTATAGTCAAGGCTTTAACAAAAGAAAAAGAGATTAAGAAATTTAAATAAGAGTATATATTATATACTCCTAGAGTAATTAGTTTAAATTAATTTATCTTAGGATTAAAATTCATTGTTTTATTTAATAAGTTATTATCTACTTCATTTGTTGAATGTTCCAAAATAACATTGGTTATAATTATAATAAATGGAAATGGATTAAAAAATGATAAAATGCTTAATTAGAATGGCTAAAGATTTTTCATATTTAGTGGCAAATGTTTGATTTAATTATATTAATTATAATTTGAAAATATGTATAGAGATTTCTCTGAAAAGCTATTGGGAAGATAGGAGTCAACCTTAAGTTTTCATGCTCAATAAACACAAGAAGGGTTGAGACCATAGATACTCCAAAAAGTCAATTAAAACCTAATCTTTGTTATTTATGTAGTAAGTTAATTGCTTCAATTAATGATTGGATTTTCATTAGTTTAATAAATAGATATTATTACAATAGCTACTTAAAGATGCATTATTACAATCATATTGACATTACTGTATATCTAATTTTTTGATAATTCCCAATTTTAATTTGATCAAAATTACATAAAAGTATTTAGTGTAATGAGTGGTGCATAAGTATTGGCATCTCTAATGGGATTACTTGCAATGAAAACATTCGTCTTTTCAGAAGTATGCACATTCCATCAATTAACAGCAGGATATATTTTAGTTTTACAACATTTCCTCATTCAACCAGGAAATAATGTAAATTTATTACTTTCACTTATTCAAACAGTTTCAACCATTTTATTTAGTGGAAACATTTTGTATATACTGATATGTCTCTTATAACCATTAAGTTTAGCATTGATATAGACTCTAAAATATTTGATGACCAAATAAATTTAATAATTTTCATTATTATTATATACTAATCTTATAGGATTACCAATTTACATTCTATTAAGTCTATTTAGTGGAGGTGTGTAGAATGTTTTCGATATGACTTATTTTATGTAATCATATTTATCTATTTAGTGAAATCCTAATAATGTGTATTCTCTAAATGCTTGCTTATTTGGCCATTAATGAATTGATAAATTAATAATTATCATCTATGTACATTTGGGCTCTATCTGGTTGTGTAACTATCTTGTCCTTAATTGTATAATTGGGATATCACTAAATTCCTTTAGGATTTGGATCATTATCGGTTATACTAATAGTTTTTACATCTATAGGCATGCATAGATAGACTTGAGTATAATCATTACATTTATAAATAATAAGTGTTAATTATTGTTTCAATTTTATTTTATATAATACCATATAAAACAATTAAATATGTAAATATTCACATAATTATGTAATTTATTCATTTATTAAAGATTTCTCTATCTTCTAATATATAATTAGAAGAATATATCCAAAACATCTAAGTAGTTTTAATAATCTTTATCATTTACTTTTAAAAATAGACTCAAAAATAATATAAAAATTATTTTATTTATGAACTAACTACAATCATCTATATGTCATAAGTAATATAAAAATATTAATAAAAATGAATTAGCCTAAAATAGTTTTTTCATTTATCATAGATAAAATAAAAATAAATATATACTATCTTACCTTATTTATAAAAAAATAAAATACATAAACAGAACATATAAATATATTTTAATATAGAATAAATAATTTATTGTCAAACTTAATCATCCATTCTATATTTCTAAAAAATATATAAATTCTTTTTTTCATTCATCTTCAAGAATGTTGAAAATTCCAATCTATATTTTTATTTCTTATTAAAAAAAAGATAATATTTTATAACATTGTTTTATGAATTAACAAATTTAAATAAATAATAATTTTATATGATTAAATTATTTCATCAACAAATCTCTTAAATAATAATAATTATTCAACAATAAAATTTTATTTAAATACTTTACTCTACTATCTATTTAATATATATACATATAATTATAATAATTGAATATATTTACATAAATTCAATAATTATGAGATTGAGTTTATTATTTATCTCTACTTAAACATCCAAATGCTGAAAATACTTTATCCATAAAACCAAGTTCTTCTTATCTTTATGAATATCCTTGTATTTCCTTTAATCCTTATTACATTTATTATCTTTAGGAAAGTCTGCTTACTCTTGCTTTAAATTCTTCTTCTTAGTTGTAATTTGAAGAAGCAGTCGATTTCCCATTATTGTTATTGTTATATTAAGAGACATAATTAGAAGATTTAGATAAGGGCTTTAAATCGATATTAATATTTTATTATGGTCCTTTAATAAATGATCTAGTAATAATATCATCATTTTATGGAGATATGGATCTATTTGATGAATCATTGTTTTTATCTTCTTTAAGTATATAAGATCTTAGATCAATTCCATAACTTTTATAGTATTTCTTCATCCAAGGATGTTCAAAGATTTAAGTCATTGATAATCTCTCATTAGGATTATATTTGAGTATTCCTTATATTAATTATTTAGCTTCAAGTGATAATGATGGATCATAATCAATAGGAGTCATCTTAACAATATTATTGCATTTTTCATTTTCATTTTTCCCTTTGAATGGAGCAAAGCCATGGATTAATTCAAATAGTAATATACCTAAACACCAAATATCTAGAGTGAAACTATAGGGTTGATTAGTCAACATTTCTGGAGCCATATAATCTAAAGTACCACAAAAAGTTCTTCTAACTCCATTTTAAGTAGTTTCAGCTGACCAACCAAAATCACAAACTTTAACATTACCTTATTTATCTAGTAGCAGATTTTCTGGTTTGAGATCTCTATGTATTATATTTTTCTTATGTAAATAGTCTATTCCCAAACAAGTTTAAAAGAAATAGACAAAAGCTTCATTTTCTGGAAGTCTTCTTCTTTTTCTTATATAACTAAATAAACTTCCATTGTCTTAAATATATAGTAATTTATTATACCTGCTAATTCTAATATAAGAAATACATTTTCTTTGTCTTCAAAATAATGAAATAGTTTGGTTATATGTGGATGTTATAATCTTCTTTAAATTTTAATTTCTCTCTTAAGATTTTCAACAGAACAATATTCAAATATTTATTTCTTATTCATCTATCTTCAATAAAGAGAGTTACCACTTTCATTGCATACATTTGACCATTCTATTTATCTTTGACCAATTTGACACAACCATAACTACCTTTTCCCAATTCCATTTAATTATCTTTGATTATTATTTCAAAGTCTTCTGGTTATCTACGAATTGATTTCAAAGTTGATGCAGAGTCATTCAGTTCAGTTTGACTCTTTCCATTTATTTAACGACAATTATTCTTATGAAATAAAGTCCTATTAAATAATAAGATTTTTATTTACCAATCAGTATCTCTACATTTCTAGGAACAATATTTGATGTTTTAACAATATGTACAAGAGTATATTGTATTGTTATTAGTAGTAGTATTGATACAATATTTATATGAGCATACTTAATTCATTTAATAAAATATAATAACGCATCTAATTTATATCAATTTATGCAAAACTTTCCCATTGAAGCTAACTTTGATTTAGTATAAGCTGGAGTAGGCAAATCATTTAGATTCATTCCCAATTATTTTAGTATATAAGGATTCTGTGTCTGATTTGGATTAGGATTAGTAAGTGGATTATATTATTGATTTTAATCAGAAGCAACACTTCTAGCAGGTGTAGAAATCTAAAATCTCTTAAATATTCATACATTATTTTATCTATCCGAATTATGCCAATATACAGAATTACCAAGTTAATAACCATTTGATTGAGCATCATATCTATTCTTTTTTCGCTTCTATTATTATTCTTGTAATTAAATAGAAAGTATTGAATTATACTTCTCCTTTGATATATCTTCCAATTCTTTCTAATATTTATATTGTTTCTCATCTTGTTATTACTTTTGTACAAAATTCTTTTATATGATGTCATCTATTCCCTATTTTGGATCTCTATAATTATCTAAGTACATTGCCTATAATTATTGCTACCTGTTTTAAACATTCTGATAATACTTTCAATATATCATTAATTATGTACTTATTTATAATTGTCTAACTTCCTTTATATTTTATTATTTTCTTAATGTACTTATTCTTAATAAACTGCCTAATCAAACTTTTTATAATTTTATTCATTCATCTTTTTAATCTATGCTTGACCATATTATTAATCCTACACCTTTCTATAATAATCTTTTTTTTATTTTTCAAAAAACTCAGCCATTGTTTATCCTTGTTTTGCTGTATCAATAATTTATTATTCAATCTATTATCTTTCTTATCTCTATCAATATAGATAACATTACTATCTATTCTTGGATGATTCTTTAATTAGTTAGTGAATTTTCATACCATTTTGATAAATCCTATTTTACATACTATTTGTTTTGTCCTTCCATAAAATTATGTATTTCTTTTTCTTTTCTCAAATTCTCTAAGTATAACAATTCCTCTCTTTATTTTTGTGTTGTTAGAGATCTCTTTCTCCTTTCCATCTCTAACTACTGGTCATACAGTTACTATTTTAGAAGCTCCTATTAAACCAATCTGAAATCTCTTGCTTGATCATGCAATTAACGATTTACATCAAATTCTTTATAATCATCATATTTGATTGGCAAAATCATATTTTAATAATAAAATTTTCGTTCTTTATGGTATAATTAATTTAGAATTTTTATTTAGTAACTACTATGATTAATAAATGCAAGATTTCTTAAAAATAAATTATATAATCACTTTTGGGTGAGAACCAATCATTCAATCTAATCTTAATCTAAACATGAAATTCAAACAACCAAATAATCAATATTTATATGAAAAATAAATTGAGAAATTAATTATAATTTTAATGTCATATAGAAAAAATGCTAAGTGTATATCAAATTTTGCTCCTCATTTTGGTAAGAAAAATATGAAATCAATTAAATATCTTAAAGAACATATTAATTTGAATAGTAATTAATGGAATAATATTATATTTTATTATATTAATATCAGATTTCATAGTATAAAAAGATCATTAACTTATTATATAAGTATATTAATATATCATACTAACAATTATTTCATATTTGGAAGATAAAGTTAATAGAAATCATTTAATTAATAAATAAATAATACTAAATCTTATATTACATTAAATTGATTTAAATTTTATTAAGAAATATTCAATCTTGTTTTTATCTAAGTATTTATTTATCTATAAAATTAAACTAATTCAATTTCATTTTTTGATTAATTATCATTAAGTATAATTAAGGAGAGTATTATTTATTGTTTAATATAGTTGTTATTTAAGATAGATTATTGCCATACATATATATATTGTATATATAAAAGAAGTTGGTTTATTATAAATACATTTACAAGCAATAATGAGATAAGATATCTATTAGAAATTATAAATGCTTATATTATTATGATTGAATTGAGATTAACAAAATAAAAAATTTTCAATTTATTACATTATATTTATTCAATTATGATAATATAAATCATACTTATATAATTGGAATCATAATTGTAAATATATTATTATTTATTTCTGAAAATAATTAATAATATTTAAATGAATTAAGAAATTAGCCAAAATTTATATCATAGATTGAGATATTCGTCCTGATTATCTCATTAGGTAGTTTAATATAAACCTTTCTTAATATATTTATTAGCGATTATAGTGTTTACAACTGTTATTGATACCAAATAAAATATTAAAGTTAACGATCTAAAGATTAAGAAAATCTTCAGGATTGAGAAATTTCTTATTAAATATGAGTCTACAAACTACTTATTCTTTTTGAAGAAATTCTTAAATTCAAAAAGCCATATAACTATCAAGAAAAGATCAAAAGTTATTAAGAGATAATTCTGTTCAATTTAATAATAAAATATGAAATTTACAATATCATATTATTAAGAATAGATCCTTATTTAGAATGTAACCAAGACTCTACCAAGAATTAATTTTAATTGAATTCAATTGAAGGTCAATTTTGATTCACTTGATTATGAGAAATTTAAAATTCCTGATCTAAGGACTTAATTTATTCGTTTTAATTAAATTAAAAAAAAACATTTCAGTTTATTTACATTTTATATAAATTTGAAAGACATTTATAAAGACAATAAATCTATATTGTGATTGAGTTTAGAATGTAAGAAGTTGAATTAAACTTCAATATATAAATAGACTCAAAATCAATTTGAAAATCATTTCATCATATAAATTAAGAGAACCCACATTGACTACATTTTTGTTAATAGAAATAATTCTAGCATTAACAAATGGAGCATTTCTTTAAAAAAGAGAATGATTTATTCAAGTTTTCGGTTTTTTTGGATAAATCCTCGAGAAATAGAGCTTATGAAAAAACAACATCTTCATCATCATTGGTTTCTACTGAACTATGATTACTTCCACCTAAGTCTTATTCTTAAAGTTTGATAGTTTAGAGGATTTATAATCCTTAATCAACTTTATTAGGTATAAATCTTGTTCCAGGTGCATCTCTTGTACATTATTAACATCTGTTACAAACTTTTCGAAATGAATAATTTAAGTTTCTGCATTCACCACAAATCCAATCACAAGGTTTGTTTTACATTTTAAGTGACTTAGCAATTTTTTTAATTTTATTATTCATCTTTCCTACTATAATTAATTATATAATAATGCAAAAATTAATGAAAAAACCGACGTTTGATTCAAATAATCTCAGACTTTCATCTTTACGTATTTTTTACACAAATTATTTAATTGGCAATTAAACTCGATTCAATCAAGACCCTGTTTATAATTAAATCATATTAATACAGAATTAGCTATATAAAAATATACTAAAAATTGAATTACAGTTTTGGATTTGAAATTATTCATTTTTTATGGCTATCTACATTAAATATTCATTCTTATTGAAATATATGTGATGATATTGATCAATAATCTATTTGTTATAACACAATTTGAGTATAATTAGAAATTAATATTATTTAGATCATTATTTATCTATTCTATTTTTAATTCAATAAATAATAGTTTAAGACATGAAATTCATATTCTGACTTATTCAAATTTTATTTATATTTTATATTAAATATATTAATATTTATTTAAATAATCATGAAATAATTTGTATTACAGAAATACTAATCTAAAATGCTTATAAATGATTAATTGGTGTAGTATAAAGTACTTCAAATGTTTTTTCATCTATTTTTTATATTTTTATCAAGAATTGATCTGATGTGAGTTCTTTTTTGTAAATAATTGACCATAAATTTTATTTTTTAAATTTAAAGATGTTATAAAATTCAAAGAATTAATTATTTTACTAAATGATTTCTTTGTTTTTCTTAAAATAAACAGGGGAATAAGAATATATTTAATTATTTAATTAATTTATTTTTGGAATGTGACACTAAAAGATAAATTTAAAATTACTTTTAATTCATTTTATTTACAAATACTTCCCAAATATTTTCTATAAAATGATTAATTTGTACATTTTTTTGGACTCATTCCACCATCTTAAAAAACATAAAGTTTTCCATTATCAAATATTTTTATTTTTCCAACAAGAGCCTTACTCTCTGAATTAATTATGAATTTCTAATTTAATAATCCTATTTTTGTAGCATCCAACAACATAAGGTCAAAAATATAGAATTTATAAGAATTATTAATCTTTTTAATATATCCAGGCATAATCCTATTTTAATAAATTATGTAATAAACTTCATAGGTGTTATTGGCTATTAAATGAAATCTAATTTATTAAATGGAATTCTAATTGATTCTACAGAGACAATTTGATTTTATTCTTCAAATTCATTCTCTGTATTAATGCTTTAAAATCTATCATATAAATTCTGACTTTAATCAATATTGTTTAATGAAACCTCTACTACTTGGCTAAATTATCTGAAATCATTCTAATTTGAAGATATCATAAGATAAAAAATAATTAATATAAAAATGAAAATTAATTTTGAGTTATATGCAACTTAAATTTTTAATTATATTTAAATTATCATATTAAATATATATAAATATATTATTTATTTTATATAAAAATATATGAGATCTTAATTTTTATCAATATTGGTAATAAAGTCTCTAACTATTTTGTTTGGATGGCTACTTTTTCTTTGGATTTTCTGGAGATAATACTTGTTTTTAATAAATGTCCTTTTAAAGTAGGTTGCTATGTTACTTTTTAAGGTTTTGGTAATAATAATTATTTTGATAGATGCTCATATGCGGCTTTTTAGGTTGGAACTTATAAACTGTTTTTGAATTATGTTGTATTAATTAGTTTTGCTTTCTGTATATAGGTTTCTATATCTTTTTCTAATTACTTATCTAAAACAAACCAATTAAATTCTTTAATTTTTTCATGCTTAATAAATAATGATCTTATATTATGAAACAATTTCAATCTATCTGTAATAAATTTCAATTGAGTATATAATTCATAAAAACTAATTGCTTTGGAATATAAATGATAAACTACCATCTTTAACACTAAATTATGAATAAAATTCTAATTATTCTTCGACTTCTTTCTTAAAAAACAAGTATTCATTAATACAATCCTTATAAATTAGAATTGTTATATCTTTCACTATATTCTATTTATAATTTATTTAGTCATACAGATATTTGTAATTATTTGGAAATAATTTTTTAAATATATGGAATCATAGCTAATTTAAAATTGAGTAAATTTAATAATTTGAATAACCATAAATACTAAACTCTTCTATTATTATGTTCATCTTAGTATGGATATTACATTCTTTAAGAAGAGTAATAAATATCACAATTATTCACAGCTCTTTGTAAATATGAATAATATAGTTTGGTCAATTCTTTTTCAATATCATCAAATTATGAAGGAAACTAATCATCATATTAGATAATACTTCTGAAGAATTTAAATAGACAATTGTTTATTGTTATTGTTGTGTTTAGAGTGTTACAGTATGGTTAGCCTAACATGTTTTTAGGTTTCTTTGATCTTAAGGCTTCCCAAAAATAATCTTCTTTAGCGTATATTCTGTACCTTTCCTTGCTGAAAGCATTATGTTACTTAATCAAGATCATTAATTTAGTCTGCAATAACCATCATATGAATGGTGTATAAGACTTTCAATTCTTCAAGTATAGAAGTTGTTTATCTGCTGAAAAGTAGCTTTCGTTTTTTTTCATTTTAAATGATAGCTTTGATGTCTTCTAATTAAACAGTTTAGGAATTGCCATCATAAATTGAAGAATATTCTACTTTAATATCTAAATTAGCTTCTTCCTTCTTGTTTTTGAAAATTGACTTAAAAATTTTCATTGTTTTTATTTTTTTACAAAAAACTATGAATTTGTGGATTGACACATTAAGAATAAATATTAGAAGATAAATGATAAAAGAGAATATATATATAATAATTGCTGTTTTTTGCAAAGCATAAACAATCAAAGTGATTTTCACTAATAAAATCACCAATCTCTGAATGGATCATCATTTTATTTAATTGGATCTGGTAATTCAGTACTATCAGGATAAACAGCAAAATTAGAAGTATCATTATCAGATCTTGTAAATAATAAAATATAAAAATTACCTTACTGATGGCATGTATTTAGGTCTAATTTATTTCTTGATTAAATTATCCCAATTTAATGTTTGATACCATTTATGTTATTTAATATCATTAGCTCCATTTTTAAGATTTCCTAATCTTTTTGAAACATCAGAAACTAAAAGATTTTTAATTAATTCTTTAGCATCATTATCAAAATTTTTAGGAAACTTTACCTTTCCTTTTAATATTTTTTAATAAATTGCCATAGGATCTTCATCATTAAATGGATCAATTCCTAAATTTATAATGAAATCTAATTACCAGCCAACATTTCATAAATAATAATTCCTAAACACCACCAATCAACAGGTCTTCCATGTCCTTTATTCAGTAAAATTTCAGGAGCAAGATATTCAGGAGTTCCACATAAAGTATATGTATGATCTTCTACAACTTTAGCAAATCCAAAATCAGTTAACTTCAAATACCCATTTTATTGAATTAGTAGATTTTCTGGTTTAAGATCTCTGTATACAATTGTCTTTGAATGTAAATACTCAAACATTAATACAATTTAAGCAGAGTAAAATCTACATTATATTAAATAATATACTATGCTTCATCATTTTCTATTGTACCTGCATTCCTTAAATAAGTAAATAACTCTCCACCTTGAATATACTCTAAAACAAAATATAAATATCTTTCATCTTAAGTGTAACCTAATAATTCAATCTAAATAATTAAATATAGATATACAATAAAAGGATGCTAAATCTAATGAAGTATTTTGAATTCAGAACTAATATGATCAACTTATTTTAATCTAAGAATTTCACATTTCTTTAACATTTTTAAAGCAACATGCTTTTAATTTGATTTCTATTTTGCTAATCTTACCCTACCAAATGAACCAGTACCAAGAGTTTAAAGTATCTCAAAGTCTTGGAGTTTCACTTACTTATTCTGCATTTATTTTGATAATTAAAAATAAATAATAATGTCATTAGGAAAAAGATAATTGTCAGGTTCAAAATTGAAATTTGATGCTGATTATTATAAAAATCTCCTTGAATAGTAAGAAAAGAAGAGACCAGGATCTGGTTAACCTTTATCAACTATAACTTCTCCACTTCCTCCTAGAAAACCAGTTTATTCTGGCAAGTTAAGAAGTATTATACCTCCATCAGAAAATGTTAATCAACAACATCGTATAATTAAATCAAGCAATAGTTAATAGAAATAATAATTAACCCCATCAGTTACTTAATCTCAATTATAAGGTGTAGTAAGAATATTTTATTATCAATTTTCATAGGTGAGTCCACATAAAACTAATAAGCCTCCATTGTAATTAGATAAGAAACTTATTATACCTAAATAGAATACATCATCATAAATTTCAATAAAAAGTTCTATAGTACCTAATCAAATCTAAACAGGAGAGAAAAAAGTAATTTAAAAATCAATTGAAAAACCTGGTGCTTTAACAAGTCCTGGATAAAATGATAAATAATTTACATGGAAGAATTAGATAGAACTTATAGTGACTTAATCAGATTTTGAAAATGTAAATATTTTAATATAGCAAGAAAAGAAGGCAAATATCACATGAGAAATTAAAATAAATACCAATAAAGTAGATTTAATAATAACCATTTGATTAAAAGAGATCCACCTAACCCATAATTTAATAAACATAATCTCATATTATCAATTCATAACCAAGATAAATACTTTAAACACAATAAATACAAAAGAAATAAGCCTATAATCCAAAATAAATTAATAATATTTAATCATAATCATAATCATAAATATAAGGAAGTTAACCTAAATGTTTTACTGATTTTACAATGACATCAGGAAGAAATGATCTTTAATAACTATTTTCATCTATGCAATTACAATTAAAAGAAGCCTCATAATATGCTGAATAACATCCAAATTTAAATATGAGTGGTAAAATATTCTACTTAATCTTTTATTAGAAATACAAGAACAACCAGATGATGCTAATTCATCTTTTGCATAAAGTACTCTATATTAATTTTAAAAGTGATACTAAAATGAGTTTATATTTCACATCTTTTTTTGAATTAATTATAATATCAAATATCTATATGAGATATTTATTAATTTAAAAAAAAAAAATCAACCAAATAATTATAACATTATTATTATTATATTAATCATAATTGTATTTTTATGACTGATTCATCTTCATATTAATATAGCATTAATGAAGGCTAATATGAAGCTAAAATAGGTGAAAAGTTGAAAAACAATCAATATTAAATTATCAAATGGTTAGGAGATGGAACATTCTCTAAAGTTTGGTTAGTAAAAGATTTAGTAAACTCATATCATTATGCACTAAAGATATAAAGTTCATTATATTCAGATGCAGCCATGGAAGAAATAGAAATTTTAAAGTATTTTTTGATATTAATTTAGAATTTTGAATTAAAATGAAAATTCATCTTAATGGATTAACATTTAAAAAAATTTCATTGGCAATTAATAATCAACACATTGTGTAAAAATGATTGATTCTTTTGTTCATGTTGTTGATGATACATTACATTATTGTGTAATAATGGAAATTTTGGGACCTACTTTATTGGATTTAATTAGATTCTATGAAAAAAAAGTATATGATATTATTATTATTAGCATTCTAGTATAAGTATTTAATTAGGGAAAGAGATAACTAAATAAATATTGATTGGATTGATTTATGCTCATGATGTATGTTAAATTATTCATACTGACATAAAACCAGAAAACATCATGATTGAATTAAATGAACAATAATTAAAGTAGTTAATAAATGAAGATGAAACTGAAGATTAGAAAAAAAAGTAATAAGAGAAAATATTTAGAGAATTAAATTGAATAATATAAATGTTGGTGATACTTTTATTTGGAATGAGAATGTCATTATTAATGTAAACTCTGACCTTAAATGTAAATTAGTTGATTTTGGAAATGCTTGTTAAACTAATTAATAATTTGAAGAAATTCAAACAAAGGAATATAAATCTCCTGAATCTATTATATAAGCTAAATATTAAACAAATACAGATATTTGGTCTTTAGCATGTGTAATATTTGAAATCTTAACAAATAATTACTTATTTTAACCTGAAGGAGATACTGAAGAAGAAGAAATGGATGATTTATTAGCAATGATGATAGAATTGATTGGAATTCCAAATTAAAGTTTCTTGAGTAAAGGTTAAAGAAGTAATTTATATTTTGAAAGTGATGGAAATTTAAAAAGAATTAAAGTATTTTAATTTATATTCATAAAAGGAATTACAAAAAGTCAATCTTACTAATACATTGATTAATGAATACAATTTTGAAAAAAATGAAGCATAAAAGTTAGAAGATTTTATTCTCTTTGCATTAAAGTGGGATCCTCTTGAGAGACCATCTTCTTAAATTATGTTCTTTCATCCTTGGCTTCGATAATGAAATACAATTTTACAATACAAAAATAAATTATTAATAAATATTTATTAATTATTCTATAATATATAGAAATATATTAGTAACCTTAATTTATTACATAAATATCATAGATATATTAATTTTTTATTATTAAAATGATAATAATAAAGTTCTAACTTTAAAAAATACTAAATAAATTTATTGTTATATTAAATTTGATATAGAATAAAATTTGAAAATAAATATTTTATATGATAATAAATCAATTAAATAAACAAGAATAATGATGCAAATTATCGTTTTCATTTAATTTTACACAAGGTTATACAAATTTTCCATCTTCAGTCTAAAGGAAAACTTAATTACATGTTGAACATTTAAGTCCCTTAAATAATATCTTAATAGTTTCTTCAATATATTGAATAATTTCTGTTAATTATTTTCTTTATATTTTTCTATATTAGACATTAAATATTAATTATTTAAACCATTAATTGACTTATTTCATAATTTCAAGTTCATGTTAATTATCTTATTTTTCCATTTTTTAAGATCCATCACATAAAAATGCTTCTATATCCAATATTTAAGTAGCATTTAAGTATTTTGTAAATTCATAATTCTTAATTATTCTAATAAAAAACCATTTGTAATCAATTTTTCTAAAATATATTATTTGATTTTCTTTATCCTTTAAATATTTGGGATCCTTAACTTCTTCAATTTCATAATTTTAAGGATTCTCTATTAAAAAATGTTATTCTTTATATCCTACTTTTTAGATTCTTTAATTAAGTAATTTTTTATCTTTAGTAAATAGTAATATTTAATGATAAATTTATTTTACACCTATATATTATTGATGTAATTATTTATAATTTTCCAATCTAGCATTTACACTGTCTTCTTTTTTTTCTAAATTATCTTTAACTTAATAATAGTTTCTTCGCTAACTTGAATAATAATCAATTGCTAGAATTTGCTCTTACATAAGATAATGAATTTCTCCTAGTATTCTTTACATTTATTGAGCAATCCCCCATTCTTCAGCTTCAAAATTTTATTCTTCCACTTCCATTGTTCTTCTCATAAACAATTTATATTTAATTATAATTATTATTTATTTTAAGTTTAATCTAAATTAATAAGTGAAAAAAAGTATAATTGTTAAATAAGTAAGTTAATAAAGCTATATACAAATAAATTTAAGTATTCAACAAGTTATTTTTCTAGATATTTTCAAATCTTATTCAATATTTGGAGATATTATATTGGATTTACTTTTTATTCTTGTAAATTCTAAAGTATTTTTTGTTTAATTATTAGATCTGCAACCAATTTCATTACAATTTAATTAACTTTTAGCAATAAAGAATACCATTATATCATTTTAAACTATTTCTGTATATCTAAATTTATTAAAATATTATATACTTAAATATTGAATTTAAATAATTCTCTAATTCTTTTTTTCTTTCTGATAAATCATATTCATCATCTAAATTAATGAATTTCTTTTCTGGAAATTCTGGTAATTCAAATTAGAATTTTTATTTCTTTAATTAATGATTATATTCTCTTAAATCTTTATATCTTTAACTAAATTTCCAATTTTTGCCTGTTAATTGATCATTAATTTATATTATATAGATTGCAGAATTATCATATATTTTATGATCTTCAAATTTAAATGTATATTATTATCTACAATAAGATTAAATATTACTTATTTTAATTGAATTATTTTGATTAAGGCAGAGAAAATACTTCATTTTCATGTTTGGCTAAATATGATTTTTTTAATTCTTCAATTTCTGACCAATTTATATTAGATTTTGTATTTTTTGATTCTTATACATTTGGATTTTTAACTATAGGTAAAAATTCTTAAAGTGCTCCTAATCCATGAAGATCCTAATGCTAGAATACTTCATTTAAGTATATTTATAATTCCAATCTCTTTAATAGATATATTTAAAATACCCTTTTTATAATACTTTCTTCTGATATATTAGTTGAGAAAATAATTTTTTTTTTTGGAAATTAGAGTTATGGAATTTTTATTTTAAAAATATTAATCCAATCTAGTATTTTTGAATGAATCAACTCTAATTCTGAATATCTCTTTTTCACTTCTTTTGTACAATTCATTTCTATATTTGTTGTTCTTATCAAATAGAATACCTTTCCATCTAAGTATTCATGTTCTGGTATTTCTATTATAAATCTTTAAGTAATTTTATGCATTAATAAATTTTACATGTATTTTTCAACATTTGTATAAATTATCCTCAATTTAAATTTTATGAAACAATATATAATTATGACAGAATTTATTAATTCTGAGTTGATTAATCTATAAAAATAATAAAGTCTATATTATGCTACATTTAAGTTCATTCTTTTTTAAATAAGTTAATAAACAATGTTTTAGGAGATTAACAATAATTATTAATAAAACTTATAATATTAATATATTTTATATTTTGCATTAAAATATGTCTTAAATATCAGAATACTTAAAATATTAGATTTAACTTAGAGAAACCATGCTGCCTCAATGTTCTGAAAAAAAAAATAATAAAAAATAAAAAAAATAAACTAAGAGTCCTTATCATTATAAAATTCCCAAAAAGACTTAAGATTCTGCTTATAAATTATATATATTGCCTTCAGTAAAATTATTACATAAATTAGGAATTTCCCCTCTTCGCTTTTAATCATAGTGGTAATGCAACTAAATTTAAATCTCTATTTTAAACATTAGGGAAAAATGATTATTTTTTATGATAAAATAGATCATGCTATACATTTAAAGTTAATTTATTCATATTATATACAACATAAACATTTAATTATAAAATTTTTACATAATTTTTGAATCAAAAACAATATCTGACTATTTTTTATTCTTTTAAGATTATTAAAAATGATTTATATAAATATAATACGTATTTTCATTATAATAATAATTCTAAAATTCTCTTATTATTTTATGATATATTTTTAATAAATAATTATTTAATATGCTTTTACTAATTCTATTCGTCATTTGTAATGCATTTCATCATAAAGGAAATTTGCAAACAAATACTACTTTGAATTTAACCTTAAATTTTACTGATTAAGCTCCTAGTATTATAATCAAATTTTTTTTGCCAATAGCTAGATAAAATTAATAAATTGTTGCTTGCTTCGTATCATTCGATAACATATAATTAAATATGTTTGGATTAGATTAACTTTAATTAAAAATCAATTCTAAAATAACATATGACATTCATAGTATATAATCTAATAGTGACACATAATTAGTTCAATATCCTTACTATTCCATAATTTATTTATAATGCTAATCAAATTAGAATATCCTTATTGATTATCAACTAACTTACTTAGAAGACTATTTGAATCCATTTTGTATAAATAATTGTAAAGGATATAATGATAAAAATAATGGAAATAATTCATATTGTTCAAATAACAATTGTGAATGTTAAATTGATAAATTAGGATAATTTTGTTAACTTGATTCAACATTTTTATTAAATAATTAGTGGGTTAGAGTAAATTTAGATTCCTATCAATGGAAATATTTTTATTATTAAATAAGAGAAACAGATATTGAATTTCATACAAGTCTTGATTATGAAGATCACAAAATAAGTAAAAATAATTTAATTAATAAAGTTTATAGTTTAACATTAAGACAATATCCATGGATATCGATTCCCAATAGTAAATTTAGTTAGAGTCTAAAAAATTGCTCATAATTATCTGAGACCTTATAACAATTAATTAATAATGAAGCTTCATCAAATATATTATATATAGGATTATATAATAACAATAGCTTATAAGCTACATTTAATTTTAGTATTGTAACAACTTCATATGATGATTATGATGAAGCTCAAAGAAATAAATTGATTCTTATAATAGTGGGATCAATAGTTGGTGTCTTATTATTATTATCTTTTTTCCTAAGCATTTTTAATAATTAACGATTGCATTAAAATGTAGAACATGTAGAGAATGTTGAATAGAATTTAGAGTAATAATAAATGGCATATAAATCTCCTACAGGTATTAGATAATTCATTTTAAGGTTTTTCTAAATAATTCATTAAAGAGTATTTTGGCCCAATTAATCTTTAGGTTGTTATGAAATCTTATCCTGGGCTTTCATAATTTGAAGATTGTGTTATTTGTCTCGAATCTTTAAAAAATGATATAAACTATGAAATGAAGTTTTGTTCAGTCACTCCATGTTTTCATATTTTCCATTAATAATGTCTAAGCTCTTGGTTATAAAAATAGGGAAATTGTCCATTCTGTAGATGTGAATTTAATAAAATTTAAATTCAAAATAAATATCCTTGGATAGATTTAACTAAAGAAAAGAGTAAAAGTGATTAAGAGTAGGATTCTTAATATCTATAACGATTGAAACATACTTAAAATACAGATTAATCACAAGATATACAATTGAATGAAAGTTAGCAAGATCTTGTACAAGTAAAAAATAGACCAATAGTTGATGGTTGAAATTAACTTATAAAATTAGAAAAATAAACTTTTTATATATAGTTTAATATTTAAAAATAGAAGATGAAAATGATATGAAAAATATTTAATATAACATTTTCTAAATGTATAGAGAAATTCTTCATTAAGAATTATCCACTTGTATCATGTTTTAATTTTATTAGGATTTACTGAATTATTAAGATTTTCTAATAGTTCTTATTTAATTCTAATAATTGTAATTATAAGAAAATTACTAATACAAAAAATAAAGTAATCAACACAATTTAAGAATAATTTATTATTATTTTTTGTAATTTTTTTTTATTTAGAACTTTTAATACAAACTGGGTTTATATTTCTTATTTCATTTTCTAAATCTTTATTTTTTTGTTTAATGAAAATATTATTTAATATTAGAATATAAGGTTAAGGAGTAAAAAATATTAAAATCATTTATTAAGATATTCATTTTTTATTGATTGAACAACCTGGATCCAATTTATAGGCTTTGCTTCAGCATCCTTAAATTTATAAAAAAACGATGAAGATTCTAAAATCTTATAATTTCTAAACTTGGTACATAATGAACACCATCTTTTGATATCTTTATTGTATCGTCAATAGGTAAATATTTTTTTTCTCCTTTGATAAAATCAATCAATAAACAGGGAGGCTTTAAATATCCAAAAAGTATTGCTATTTATGGAATACAAAACCATCTTTTTGTATTTAATTAAATAAAACCAACACATTTGTCGAAATGTTTAAATACTGAATTACAATTTGATTCTGTTGGTGATTGAGTTCGTTCTGTTTTAAAGATTTGGTATTTTGGAGAACACTATATTTTTTATGGTTTTATTAATCCATTAGGAATGGGTGTTACAACTTCATCTAGTTCCTCCATTATTGTTTTTAATCTATCTTATTTTTTCTTAACTAATTCTTATTTCATCTAAATATTTGCAGGTGTAAACTCCCATAAAATACTTGTTTTACTTTAACTTGGAATAATTTCTTAAAATAATCCCTAATATTCATATGGAATCTCTATTTAATTTTACCAAGGAATATAGTCTTACTTAATATCCTGAAAATATTAATGTTAAATTATCATTTTTGAATCTTCATATCCTAATCTTTCAGATGGATTCAATACTAATAAAGATCTAATTAGATCTTAGGCAGCTTATGGAATTGTATCATCTAATTAATAATTGAGAGTTAAGATATTATTAAAAATAGCATTTTCACTAATATCGGTGAAAGGCTATTTTCCATGATAAAACTAGATAAATTTTAAGTTATACTTCATACACTATACAGCCAAGAGCCCATAAATCAGCCTCTTTAGATGCTCTACTATTATTGAGCATTTCAGGTGAGATGTATTCTGGTGTCCCAACAAAATTTGATCTATATTAAGTTGATTCACTTTCAATTTTCTTAATAGATCTTCCATGACTCTACTAAATTTTCTTAATTTAATCTATTAAGTCTGAAGGTTATTTATTTTCTTCAAAAAAAAAACTTGTTGCAAAATCAGTCAATTTTAAGTTGTAATTTTTATCTATTAATATATTTTTGGGTTTTAAATCTAGATGAGCTATACCTTCACTATGCAAAAAAATTATGGCTTAAGTTATTTGATAAATGTAAACTTTAATGAAATATTCAAGTTCTTCAGATCTAGTATTTCTGTAAAACTAATAAATATCATAAATGATATTCCCTAAATCTCCAAAAGGACAATGTTCACTTACAAAGTAGAGGTATTATTTGTCTTAAAAGCTTCCAATAAATTCAACTATGCCTAAAGTTTATATTTAAATTTTACTCGGATGTTTTTGTGAATACTACTTCATCATATGTCTTTCAATATAAATCTCTGATTATTTGTTTGATAAAGTTATCGATTCCTTATAAATCTTTTTTATGGCTACTTTACGATTATTTTTTAAGTAAATAGCCTCATAAACTTCAGAATAAGAACCTTAATTATTATTCAAAAATATACCCTCTCCAATAAGACCGACAATATAGAAACTTTTGATGTTCATCTTCTTTTCTTTTTAAAGTTAGTTCTAAATTTAAAGTCCTTTCATAACAAAAAATTAAATTTATTATAAAACTATCATACATATTTTTTAATCAATTAGATTATAAATTTTTATTTATCGAACTTTCTTATTTTCCATATAATTAGCATATAAGAAGAAATATTTGAAAAAAAAATATTTTTTTAAGAATTAATTTTTTTCCTAACATTTTTTTAATCAAACTTGAAATAATTAATTTTAATGGTCTCATCTATTTCATAGTTGCAATAGTTGTAAATTTAAAAAAAAATAAGGACTAAATAATTATCTAAGTGAATAAATAATATTAACTTATTAGAAATTTTTAGTCTTTATTATTTAATTTTAATTATTAAAAAAAGATAGGAATATCTTCTTTAAAATATAAAATATAAAAATTATTAAATTATATTAATATTTTATTCTCTAAATTTAATCAATCTTGTGGAGCCTCTATGGGTTGTTAATCTGTTATATTTGCTTTAAAGAACTCGTTGTCTACTTTTTGATTTCTGGCAGCCATTAGTTTAGCCAATTTAAGCTTCTTATAGTAAAGAAGTGCAGCTATTAACAATGAAACACCAACAACAGAACAAACTACAGCTACAACAATAGTAACTGTTGCAGAATTGTTTTCAGATTTCTTAATGGATTTTTAGATGGTTCCTGGATTAGTAGAATTGTTATTTCCATTATTTGAAGTGTCTTATTAATTAACTCCTTCATCAGTAACTAATACCAAATCATCATCATTATTTGAATTACCATTTCCATTGTTATTGTTATTATTACCATTATTATTGCCATTATTATTACCACTATTATTTCCATTATTATTGCCATTATTATTACCATTAGTATTTGTATTGCCTCCTGGAACTAAAATAATTTCTAAAAAATATAAATTATAATAATACCTGATGTTTATTCGGTGCTCTTGAAATTAAGTTCAGAAATTGAAGAAATGGTAGTGGATTCATGTTTGATACCAACAACTCCTAATTATTACAACTCCTCTGAAATTCCTAATGATTCTAGTTTACTAGCCATTTCAGCTAATCTTGATTAAGATTGTTTGCCTTCAGAAGTACCAATTTCTGCAGAATCTGCAATACCCCAATCAATAACAACAGACTCAACTGCAGATTCTTCCAAAAATCTTCTTCTGTATTTCTTGGTTCCAATAATGAAATAGTTATAAGGATCTCCTCCTAATTGTGCCCTTGCATATTATAGGAATTTATCACCAAAGAATTCTGATGTTTTAATTTCAAGTCTTGTTGAAACTTAAAGTGTATTCTTCAATGCTATTCTAATCTTGCAATCCAATTTACCTGTCAAAACAAAATGAATTGTTCTATTTTCAAAGTAGTAATTATTGGCACCACATTGATTAGTCATTGTCATAAGATCATGATGTTTATTATGAGTTGTAAGTCCTGGTTAAATAACTTTATTATTGACCATGACTTAAATAATTTATGGAACAGAGAATTACCATTTCAAAATAACCCAATCTTCTGGACTACCTGCTTCTGATCTCTTTGATAACCAATATTCAGATGTAGTTGGATTCATACCAGCATTTGTCATATTAATCACTGTATTCACTGTTACTAAACCAACAAATTTAGATTCTCTCAAATTTAATGGTTCAGGACCATCCCAACTCCACTCAGCATAACTATTAATTTCATTAAAGAATAATCCATCTGTCAATTTAATTGGTGAATATAATCTCTTATTAAAGTCTGCAGCAGTACTCATAAACATTAATACAGTAGCTTATCTGCCTGGACACCAATATCCATTCCAAGATTCTTGTCTTGAACAATAAGTTACATTTGGTCCAAAGTATGTGTTATTACCAATACCTTATCCAATTTCTCCAAAGAAATGACCAGTTTAATCTTCAACTAAAAAGTTTATTTATCCTGTGCATTCAAATGAACCACATCCTCCAAACCATCCTATTTTACTATAATTTGGATTTCTAGTTTTGTATAATAAAGCACTAAATTCACAATTGGTGCATGGAGAATTAACTAAATAATGTTATCCTGTCATATCATGTGCTCCATGATGTTATCTAAAAGCAGCATTATTCTAGCATCTTGGTATATTATCATAAGTTAATCTAAAGTTATGGAATTCAACATTTGATAAGTAAACTCTGAGATCAACTCTTTAAATTGTACAAATTGTATCAAATGCAGAAGAGGGCTTAGATGAAATAGGAGGGAATGCTGATGAAGTTAAAGTACCCATTTAAATACCCATACTACCTCTACAATTAGGATTAAGAGATGCAGAATAGCATTTCACACATTCAGGTCTAGCCAAAGCTGAAATGAATATATTATTTAGCTTCATTTTATTGTCTTATATGCTATTTGGAGCAGGTTTCAAAGCTATGCCTCTATCATTCTCAACTACTATTGATTTCTCAAGTTATATCTATTCACTGTAAACAGCATACATTATACCAACTTCACTATGATGTGCATATAATCCTGATATATATGAGCATTAACCTTCTGGATCTTATCTGACACCAAAACAAGCTAATACTGTTCCTGAACAATGATTGTTATAGAATGATGATTAATATGAATCAGAGCATTTACTTGCCATAACAAAGAAACCAGTATCTTAAGAACCTTATCCAACATTTCCAGATACATCAACAATATCTCTTGTCATTTAAGTTGGTGTTAATTCATCCATGTAAACAAAGTTACCAAATACTGCCCAATTTGCAATACCACCATCAGATAATATCCTCTTTTTAACATAGATCAATGCATTATTCTAGAATTTCACAAATTAACTGTTATTAATCTATACCAAAGCTTTGATACCATTAAAGAATATGTTATTCTTTATTGTAATGTATTAGGAATTTTAAACTGTCATTAACATGCCTGTAGTATCATGGAATGAACATCCTACAACTTCACTTGGAGTCTTAATAATATCACTATTTAGATTTCTAAAATCTAATCCACTTCTTTGTGTATCATATTGACCACAATTATTAAATTCAACACCATGTAAAACAGCGTATCCTCTTCTTGGGAATCCTAAATTAGCTTCAGGTTCTTCAAATTAATAAATTAACACTCTGCATCCTAAACCATGAATACTAGGTCCTCCTTCAATCTTAATCTTTCTAGTTAAATGTCCAACAACAGCTCTCATATCTAATTGTCCAATTCCAGGCTTATCAATAGTTACAGAAGGAGCTCCATAGTGATCAAATTCAAGAGCTTAATCTAAAGTTATAACACATCCAGAAATAGATGCAATAGATCTCTTCTCTCTTTATTCTGGGTCACTACCTGAAGGACCAAATACTATTTCATCACCAACAGCCCATCCAGCACATTCAGCAACAGTAACAGTAGTTGCACCAGCATCTGCATAAACAACTAATCTAGTCCATACTGTTCCAGGTGGAGTTGAATATAATTCCATAGCTCTAGTAACAGCAAGTACTTTATTTCCAACATCTAAATTAGCATCAATTACTAATGGATTATCTCCAAATTCACCATTCAATATAATATTAATCTTTCCAGGGAATGGATGAGTTGAATTACCAGCTAATAGTTTACCTGATCTAACCCAGATTCTCTCTGCTTCTAATTTAGTGGATGCTCTTCTCTCATCAAAAATAAGTGATCCCAAAATAGTTAAATTAGCAAGTTTAGGAGGATCTACATCTAAGATAACTTGGTATCCTCCTTATACAATTGGACTATCTCCTTCGACAGGTACTTTGTTATCTATCCAAGTAGTAGGATCACTCCAATATCTATATCCATCTTCTAATGGTACATCTCCTAAACTATCACATTCTTCTCTGCAAATAACTCCTCTGACTTCAACATATTCATATTACTTCTTATTCTTACCAGATAAGCAAAGGAAGAACAATTTATTTGTTCTATCATTAAACCAATCACCCTAATTACATGTCTTAGTATCTGGAATTTATTCCAATTTTGTGTAATTAACTGGGAATTATCCTCCTATGTTTCTCATGATATCAAATGTTTCTCTATTGGCAGAATAATTGAATCTAAGAATAACAGCATCATCAACTTAATTAAAGTATGGGGATGCAAAGATACCCATACTTAATGGATCACTTGCTCCGAATTTGAAATGAACATTATAAGTGAAACCAGTAGCAAATACACTTGCAAATGATTATTTAACATCTTTACTCTTCTTTATAATTTTCATAGTTTCAGCTTCTATATATTTACTTTCATCAATTGAAGCATCCATTTTGAGTGCAATATTAGTGCTATCTAATCTAAAGAGCTTCATATCAGTTCCTGTGAAATCTTGAGTAGGAGTAGGATTATTGACCAAAACATCCCTTATTGTAACTTAATTCATAGCACAAATAATAGAATTATCCCAATAAGCTTCTGGATGATTAACACATCCTGGAATACCATCAATATGTTTCTTATAAGGTATAATATATGCTCCTCCAGTAACTCCTGAAATAGAACCATCTTAATCCCAAAAGATTTCTCTTCTATGTTTCTACCAAAAGATACGATTAGCTGAATCAGAATTAAATACTTTGATATTCAAGAATTAAGTATTTTTACCACCTTATACCCNAATCTAAAGTTATAACACATCCAGAAATAGATGCAATAGATCTCTTCTCTCTTTATTCTGGGTCACTACCTGAAGGACCAAATACTATTTCATCACCAACAGCCCATCCAGCACATTCAGCAACAGTAACAGTAGTTGCACCAGCATCTGCATAAACAACTAATCTAGTCCATACTGTTCCAGGTGGAGTTGAATATAATTCCATAGCTCTAGTAACAGCAAGTACTTTATTTCCAACATCTAAATTAGCATCAATTACTAATGGATTATCTCCAAATTCACCATTCAATATAATATTAATCTTTCCAGGGAATGGATGAGTTGAATTACCAGCTAATAGTTTACCTGATCTAACCCAGATTCTCTCTGCTTCTAATTTAGTGGATGCTCTTCTCTCATCAAAAATAAGTGATCCCAAAATAGTTAAATTAGCAAGTTTAGGAGGATCTACATCTAAGATAACTTGGTATCCTCCTTATACAATTGGACTATCTCCTTCGACAGGTACTTTGTTATCTATCCAAGTAGTAGGATCACTCCAATATCTATATCCATCTTCTAATGGTACATCTCCTAAACTATCACATTCTTCTCTGCAAATAACTCCTCTGACTTCAACATATTCATATTACTTCTTATTCTTACCAGATAAGCAAAGGAAGAACAATTTATTTGTTCTATCATTAAACCAATCACCCTAATTACATGTCTTAGTATCTGGAATTTATTCCAATTTTGTGTAATTAACTGGGAATTATCCTCCTATGTTTCTCATGATATCAAATGTTTCTCTATTGGCAGAATAATTGAATCTAAGAATAACAGCATCATCAACTTAATTAAAGTATGGGGATGCAAAGATACCCATACTTAATGGATCACTTGCTCCGAATTTGAAATGAACATTATAAGTGAAACCAGTAGCAAATACACTTGCAAATGATTATTTAACATCTTTACTCTTCTTTATAATTTTCATAGTTTCAGCTTCTATATATTTACTTTCATCAATTGAAGCATCCATTTTGAGTGCAATATTAGTGCTATCTAATCTAAAGAGCTTCATATCAGTTCCTGTGAAATCTTGAGTAGGAGTAGGATTATTGACCAAAACATCCCTTATTGTAACTTAATTCATAGCACAAATAATAGAATTATCCCAATAAGCTTCTGGATGATTAACACATCCTGGAATACCATCAATATGTTTCTTATAAGGTATAATATATGCTCCTCCAGTAACTCCTGAAATAGAACCATCTTAATCCCAAAAGATTTCTCTTCTATGTTTCTACCAAAAGATACGATTAGCTGAATCAGAATTAAATACTTTGATATTCAAGAATTAAGTATTTTTACCACCTTATACCCATAATTTCATATTCCAACATACAGAGCATGATTCAATTATAGCAGAATTACTTCCATAATTATAAATTCTGATATTTTTAGCTAAGAATCCATTTGTTCTTGGTACGACCAGAGCTCTTGATCCATCATAATAAGTATCATCAGGATTTGCATTATTATTTGATTTACCAATAATTAAAGCATTATCTAAAACAGCTCCTTCAATTGAGTAATTACCTTTGTGAGCTTAGAAACCAGCAAATTTGGAATCAGCAATCATAATATCCTTGAAATAAATGTTACCCAATTCTTCTCCTAAAATACCACACTCATTATTTTTCCAAGTATAGAATTTTTCAAAAACTGCTTAAAGACTTGGATTGTCTAAAAATGGTTAATCATTAGCCCAATTATTTGGATCAATACAAGGGAATTTTCTTGGTGCCATTTAGAAAATACGAAGACCAAATCTACCATTTGAATGTGCCCAATTATCCTTAAACTCAAGTATATTTAATCCTGGAGGACAAATATCTGAAGTAGCTGATGGACCATCTGGATTTGTTTTAATTTCATACCAAAATCCATACCATTCTGAACCTCCTGATCTATTTCTTCTTAATATATTTTATGGATTTGTAACCCAAAAAGTAGCTACAGTAATATCTGTTTATAACATGATCCAACTTTATTTAGTACTTGCAACAAGATTATCTTCAACGACATTATTGGTTTCAATACCATCTTCAAAGAATATGGCATGTCCAAAAGTATTGTAACAAACGTTCTTTTAAACTTTCAAATAATGAACACCATGAATAGTTAAACAACGAGCATAACAATCATGAATAGCATTACCAACAACATATGATTCATCTACTTCTCCATTCAAGTGGAAATGAACAGGATATCTACCAATAATTCTTGGTTAACCACCATATCTGAATTCTGCATATGATATTTTACCAATTGATCCTTTCTCAGCTCTTCCATGAATCATTAAATGATAACCATATTTCAAATCTGATTCTTCACCTTGAATAACAATATTTCTAGTTAATAAACCTACTTCAACTTTCATAGGGAATTAATCTGTTCCATAAGTTTCAACAGCTGAATAATGTTTATGAGTAAGCGGTTAATCAAGAGTCAAAGTTTTTTTGTCAGCACTAACAGCAGTAATATATCTTTTTTCACTTTGCATATGTTCAACTTCACTTGAAGTAATAACAATTTATTCACCAACTTACCAGTCTACTACATCATCTACTGTAATTTGAGTTGCTCCAGCTTATGCAGTGCTTGATAAAAGTGTCCATGTAGGAGTTCTCTCTTTTCCATGAATAGTTAATTAACATTAATGGCATCCTAAGACTTTATTACCCATAGCAGGCATTTAAACATCTTCTTCAACACCATATAAAGTAATCTATACTTTATGTTAATGAGCCACCTATTCTGTACCTATGTTGAATTTTCCTTCTCTAATAACAATAAAATGAGCATCCATAGATGTATCTAATTCATCAGAGAATGTGAGAGTTCCTTCAACTAAAACTTACATTAACTTAGGTGTTTTAACATCAACTATCAAAGTTTATCCAGCATTAACAATAACAGAATCTCCATTTCCTGGATATTCATATCCACCCCAAGTATTAATATCTGACCATTTAGTAGCATAAATGAATTATTGATTGTTAACTGCCAAGTTACCATTAACTCTAACTTAAAATACTCCATTTAATTATGTTTATTCTAGATCTTTAACTCCAGTTTTACATACAATTTAAGTTGCTGTAACACTTTAGATAGCACATGTGACTCCATCTATAGTTACTGTAGTTTATGCATTTACAAATCCAGTACCAGTAATTGTAATAACTGCTTCTTCAGTGAATCTGCCTGTAGCTGGACTGACAGTATTAACAACTGGAACACTATTTGATGAGTAACTAACAGCATTTGATACTGTACCAATAGCTTATCCATTTACTGAGATTTCTGCATTACATGATGTTGGAACAGAGTATGCATTATTACTATTTGATAAGACCCATCCTTTTAATTCAATTTCTGCTAATTAACAAGATGAACCACTTGAACCTCTTGAATCAAATAATCTGATTGCTTTAATTCCTGTGATATCAGATTGAGGCACATAAATATTCCAACCAGTATGTACAGTTTAATCAACTGTTAATAAAGTCTACCAAGTAGTACCATCTGTTGTATATTAGAATACTGCATCTTTCAATTGAATTGCTTATTTATCAATTCTTGGAATATATCTCAATTAATGTAATTTTAAAACTCTACTTGATCCAAAGTCAACTTGGATATAACAATTTGAAGCTGCACTAGAAGTATAATAAGTTGATTATAGTAAATCAAAGAAGTTAGAAACTGAAGTTGCTGTATCAGCTAATAATGTAACTTCTGATGGTTTAATATATCTTGCAGGTTCTTATAAGGCAGAATATTAATTTAAAACAGATGTTGTCAATAATTTTGGAGCTTCACATGATAGTGTTGTATATGTTGCACTTGTTATAGGACAATTAAATCCACAGACTTTGACTGAATTTTAATCTTTGACTGAATCAAAACCAGTTCCTGTAAATGTTACAGTAGCACCACCAGCATAGGATACTGATGGATTATTTGAAGTTGGTTGAGCTGTGCTAACAATTAATTTCTATTTAGTAACATCACTAATATAAGCATATTTAGTATCAACTAATAAGTTAATTGAGTAAACTCCTGCAGGTAAACTTGAAAAAGTAGCTGTTACTGAAGTATCAGATAATGCTGAAGTAGTTCCAACAATCTTATGACCCATGTGTTCCAATGTCACTACAATAGTAGTACCAGTAAGTCTGATACCAGTGAATACAAGAACAATNCTCCTGATCTATTTCTTCTTAATATATTTTATGGATTTGTAACCCAATAAGTAGCTACAGTAATATCTGTTTATAACATGATCCAACTTTATTTAGTACTTGCAACAAGATTATCTTCAACGACATTATTTGTTTCAATACCATCTTCAAAGAATATGGCATGTCCAAAAGTATTGTAACAAACGTTCTTTTAAACTTTCAAATAATGAACACCATGAATAGTTAAACAACGAGCATAACAATCATGAATAGCATTACCAACAACATATGATTCATCTACTTCTCCATTCAAGTGGAAATGAACAGGATATCTACCAATAATTCTTGGTTAACCACCATATCTGAATTCTGCATATGATATTTTACCAATTGATCCTTTCTCAGCTCTTCCATGAATCATTAAATGATAACCATATTTCAAATCTGATTCTTCACCTTGAATAACAATATTTCTAGTTAATAAACCTACTTCAACTTTCATAGGGAATTAATCTGTTCCATAAGTTTCAACAGCTGAATAATGTTTATGAGTAAGTGGTTAATCAAGAGTCAAAGTTTTTTTGTCAGCACTAACAGCAGTAATATATCTTTTTTCACTTTGCATATGTTCAACTTCACTTGAAGTAATAACAATTTATTCACCAACTTACCAGTCTACTACATCATCTACTGTAATTTGAGTTGCTCCAGCTTATGCAGTGCTTGATAAAAGTGTCCATGTAGGAGTTCTCTCTTTTCCATGAATAGTTAATTAACATTAATGGCATCCTAAGACTTTATTACCCATAGCAGGCATTTAAACATCTTCTTCAACACCATATAAAGTAATCTATACTTTATGTTAATGAGCCACCTATTCTGTACCTATGTTGAATTTTCCTTCTCTAATAACAATAAAATGAGCATCCATAGATGTATCTAATTCATCAGAGAATGTGAGAGTTCCTTCAACTAAAACTTACATTAACTTAGGTGTTTTAACATCAACTATCAAAGTTTATCCAGCATTAACAATAACAGAATCTCCATTTCCTGGATATTCATATCCACCCCAAGTATTAATATCTGACCATTTAGTAGCATAAATGAATTATTGATTGTTAACTGCCAAGTTACCATTAACTCTAACTTAAAATACTCCATTTAATTATGTTTATTCTAGATCTTTAACTCCAGTTTTACATACAATTTAAGTTGCTGTAACACTTTAGATAGCACATGTAACTCCATCAATAGTTACTGTAGTTTATGCATTTACAAATCCAGTACCAGTAATTGTAATAACTGCTTCTTCAGTGAATCTGCCTGTAGCTGGACTGACAGTATTAACAACTGGAACACTATTTGATGAGTAACTAACAGCATTTGATACTGTACCAATAGCTTATCCATTTACTGAGATTTCTGCATTACATGATGTTGGAACAGAGTATGCATTATTACTATTTGATAAGACCCATCCTTTTAATTCAATTTCTGCTAATTAACAAGATGAACCACTTGAACCTCTTGAATCAAATAATCTGATTGCTTTAATTCCTGTGATATCAGATTGAGGCACATAAATATTCCAACCAGTATGTACAGTTTAATCAACTGTTAATAAAGTCTACCAAGTAGTACCATCTGTTGTATATTAGAATACTGCATCTTTCAATTGAATTGCTTATTTATCAATTCTTGGAATATATCTCAATTAATGTAATTTTAAAACTCTACTTGATCCAAAGTCAACTTGGATATAACAATTTGAAGCTGCACTAGAAGTATAATAAGTTGATTATAGTAAATCAAAGAAGTTAGAAACTGAAGTTGCTGTATCAGCTAATAATGTAACTTCTGATGGTTTAATATATCTTGCAGGTTCTTATAAGGCAGAATATTAATTTAAAACAGATGTTGTCAATAATTTTGGAGCTTCACATGATAGTGTTGTATATGTTGCACTTGTTATAGGACAATTAAATCCACAGACTTTGACTGAATTTTAATCTTTGACTGAATCAAAACCAGTTCCTGTAAATGTTACAGTAGCACCACCAGCATAGGATACTGATGGATTATTTGAAGTTGGTTGAGCTGTGCTAACAATTAATTTCTATTTAGTAACATCACTAATATAAGCATATTTAGTATCAACTAATAAGTTAATTGAGTAAACTCCTGCAGGTAAACTTGAAAAAGTAGCTGTTACTGAAGTATCAGATAATGCTGAAGTAGTTCCAACAATCTTATGACCCATGTGTTCCAATGTCACTACAATAGTAGTACCAGTAAGTCTGATACCAGTGAATACAAGAACAATATTTCCTGCTGTGGCTAAATAAGNTTTTTTGTCAGCACTAACAGCAGTAATATATCTTTTTTCACTTTGCATATGTTCAACTTCACTTGAAGTAATAACAATTTATTCACCAACTTACCAGTCTACTACATCATCTACTGTAATTTGAGTTGCTCCAGCTTATGCAGTGCTTGATAAAAGTGTCCATGTAGGAGTTCTCTCTTTTCCATGAATAGTTAATTAACATTAATGGCATCCTAAGACTTTATTACCCATAGCAGGCATTTAAACATCTTCTTCAACACCATATAAAGTAATCTATACTTTATGTTAATGAGCCACCTATTCTGTACCTATGTTGAATTTTCCTTCTCTAATAACAATAAAATGAGCATCCATAGATGTATCTAATTCATCAGAGAATGTGAGAGTTCCTTCAACTAAAACTTACATTAACTTAGGTGTTTTAACATCAACTATCAAAGTTTATCCAGCATTAACAATAACAGAATCTCCATTTCCTGGATATTCATATCCACCCCAAGTATTAATATCTGACCATTTAGTAGCATAAATGAATTATTGATTGTTAACTGCCAAGTTACCATTAACTCTAACTTAAAATACTCCATTTAATTATGTTTATTCTAGATCTTTAACTCCAGTTTTACATACAATTTAAGTTGCTGTAACACTTTAGATAGCACATGTGACTCCATCTATAGTTACTGTAGTTTATGCATTTACAAATCCAGTACCAGTAATTGTAATAACTGCTTCTTCAGTGAATCTGCCTGTAGCTGGACTGACAGTATTAACAACTGGAACACTATTTGATGAGTAACTAACAGCATTTGATACTGTACCAATAGCTTATCCATTTACTGAGATTTCTGCATTACATGATGTTGGAACAGAGTATGCATTATTACTATTTGATAAGACCCATCCTTTTAATTCAATTTCTGCTAATTAACAAGATGAACCACTTGAACCTCTTGAATCAAATAATCTGATTGCTTTAATTCCTGTGATATCAGATTGAGGCACATAAATATTCCAACCAGTATGTACAGTTTAATCAACTGTTAATAAAGTCTACCAAGTAGTACCATCTGTTGTATATTAGAATACTGCATCTTTCAATTGAATTGCTTATTTATCAATTCTTGGAATATATCTCAATTAATGTAATTTTAAAACTCTACTTGATCCAAAGTCAACTTGGATATAACAATTTGAAGCTGCACTAGAAGTATAATAAGTTGATTATAGTAAATCAAAGAAGTTAGAAACTGAAGTTGCTGTATCAGCTAATAATGTAACTTCTGATGGTTTAATATATCTTGCAGGTTCTTATAAGGCAGAATATTAATTTAAAACAGATGTTGTCAATAATTTTGGAGCTTCACATGATAGTGTTGTATATGTTGCACTTGTTATAGGACAATTAAATCCACAGACTTTGACTGAATTTTAATCTTTGACTGAATCAAAACCAGTTCCTGTAAATGTTACAGTAGCACCACCAGCATAGGATACTGATGGATTATTTGAAGTTGGTTGAGCTGTGCTAACAATTAATTTCTATTTAGTAACATCACTAATATAAGCATATTTAGTATCAACTAATAAGTTAATTGAGTAAACTCCTGCAGGTAAACTTGAAAAAGTAGCTGTTACTGAAGTATCAGATAATGCTGAAGTAGTTCCAACAATCTTATGACCCATGTGTTCCAATGTCACTACAATAGTAGTACCAGTAAGTCTGATACCAGTGAATACAAGAACAACATTTCCTGCTGTAGCTAAATAAGCCTTTTGTGTAGTATCATAAGTAGCACCACTAATTGCTGTGAATGTTGGAGAACTAGAAGAAGGAGTTATTGTTAAAGTATATGTAGCGGTTAAAGGAACTGCTGAATTATTTTCAGACGGTAATTAGGATAGGGTTACAGCAGCAGATAGTACTGATTATCTGGCCATTCTACATTTAATTTAGATAGTGGAGACAACTTCTATTTCAGTACAAAATGTTGTTCCTATTTTTATAGTAGGAGATTTATCGGCATTAAATCCAGCACCATTAATTGTTAATATTTATCCACCAATAACAGCATTATTAATAGATGTAATGGTTAATCCAATCACAGTTACCCAAATCTTATCTGCATAACCATTTTCAGTTAACACATAAGTAGAATATTATCCTTAAGGTAAATTTGGAATTGTATAGGTAAATGATGTTCCAGAAAGAGTTGCTGCTACTGTTTATGTAACTGGACCTTTGAATACTACTGAAACTGTATTTGTTAATCCTGTTCCAGATAATGTTTCTGTATCTCCAGGAGCATAAGTCTTTTATTGACTTAAAACTAAATCAGCAGATGTTAACATATCTCTTCTTGGTGATTTACCAAGATTTAAAATATGATTATGGCCTTGTTTCTTTGATTCCTCTGTCCATAAAAATCTCTTTCTTTAAACTAGTTTTTGATAATCTGGTTTTTAATGATCAGACTCAGTCAAAATTCTAGATCCTGTAAATTAAGTAGCAGATGCTGGATAATTATCAAGAGTTGGTGTTAATGTACTATCATAAGTAAATAAGCAATTATTTGTAGTATCAAGACATGTTGATTCAAGTGTGACTTATAATGTTACTACAACTAATTAAGCTGCTTCGCTGTAGAATTCAAATTTTGGTGGAACGGTACAATAAATGACTTCACTTGTGAATCTACTTTCATCAATTTCACAGAACCAATTAATAGCTACACCAACAAATACAAGAGTTTCACCTAAAACAAAATTAGATCCTGTAATTTTAATAACTGTTCCTCCAGCCTCTGAACCTTTAGCCTAACTAGTGCCATCTTCTAAAGTAACACTTGTGATAGGAATGATATATTTAAATAAGTTATCATCAGCATTAGCATATGAATTACCATAATCTTTTCTTGTTATAGTAACTCTATATTAACCTGGCATTCCTCCTCTTAAATAAACTTTGATTGAAGTATCTGTAACAGAAATAACTTTTGCATTATATGATTTGGTTCCTACGAGAGTAACTTTAACATCATCAACAACAGTTCCAAAATTGGTTCCTGTAATTGTCATTTCTCCTTTGAATATTGGTGTTTTTGCATTGAATTCTAAAGATAAAACTTAAATTCTTAAATTATCATCATATGTAAATAAACTACTAGCAAGTGTCTTTTAATTGAATGATAAAGAAATTGCTCCAGTTCCTCCAACTGCTTTTTTTGGAGTAACAAAAACAATTTAAGTATTAGTTATTGATAATGGATGAACATCTTAGCCATCAATTTAGAATGTAAAATCTCTATTTAAATTTTTAGGGAAACCAGTACCAGTAACAGTAATAGTAGTACCACCATCTGGCGATCCTGTGGCTGGTAAAACTGAAGATATAACCAAATTAATGCTTTCTCCTGTTACTCCAGCATCAATTTTAGAGAAACCAATACCTTTGTGATGTACAGCAGGTACTTAATTATCACCAGCTTCTTTAATATTCTATGTATCCAATTATTCTAAACTACATGTTATAGAATATGGTGAAGTGTTAGTTGAGAATTGAATGTTTGTACAATCAGCTCCAGCATATGAAATTTCTAAGTCTGTTTATGCTATTGGTAATCCAACTCCTTCTGATAAAGTTAATGATAATTGAGATCCTGTAACTGAATATGCGGTTAAAGTTGGAGTCTTTTCATCACTTAAAGTGAAATCACAAAGAATATTAAGAGTAACTATAAAGGCATTTTGAAGAAATGAAAGCACACACAGAGTCTGGTTTACCTGATACCTTAACAACAATTTATAAGCTAGATAAGTTATTGTCATCTGGATCTGGTTTTGTAGTTTTACAGTTCATGAACAATCCATTGACTCCCTTATCAGAGATTACGCATGGGTATTTACCAATATATACTGCGTTATTGCTAGCAGTCTAATCTAATCCTTGAACCTAAAAGAATATATTTTTTCTTACTTTCATATAAATTGTTGTTCCTCCCATAACAGAACCTTAAAGGCCTGAATTTTCTTATCCTAAAATTGTTGATGCAGCTAAAATCACTACTGCATCAGAAGTTGAATCTGTTGAAGAATCCATCATCATGGCTACAATATTATTTGATTTGATTACCATCAACATTATTGCTTAGTAGCAATAGTAACATACTCGTAAAAGCTATGATTAACATGTAAATGTTTTATAAAAAATAATGATCTTCTACAAAAGTTTAGAGCCCTTTTATACCCCTTAATATCTTGATTAATCTCAGTTTTAATTTATCACATACCCTAAAATATTAACTGTATCCTGTTGAAATAATATTAGGAAAACAAGATTAATTGCTTATAATAGCGATTTTCTTCATATTAGAGTTGACTTGATACATTAATGGAAAGTTTTAGAATCATTATTTAGCCTTTTTACAATGTTTTTAGTTTCTAAATATTTTGTTATTTTTATAAGGCTCACTAGTCTTTTTAGTCTGAATCAGAGTCTAATTTCAACACTGATAAAAGAAATAGCACAGAAAATTAGAATTAGATTTATTTAGGATCTGAAGAGATTGCCATTGAAAAATCATCCTTAATGAAACAGCACAATTACATTATTCATATTGTTTTCTCTTCTCTAATAACAAAATAAGTCAATATATTGTTATGGAATAAAGAAAATATAAAAAAGTAAACAAAATTCTTCATTATTCTTCATTTTTCTTCATTTTTCAGCTGCCCAAATTTAATCAGCATCTTAGCAGTAAGAATAAGTTATCAACACGTTTTAAAGTTACGAATGATTTAGAATAATTCTTGTTATTTTCTAATCATATACAATTAATCAAATTTGTTTAAAAAGAACAAAAGAAAAATGGTGTAATAGTTAAAAATTAGAACTTTTGGTTAATAAAGGCAACTTGTGTTTCTAAAAGGAATTAGGATCTGATTTTTACTATTGATAATTTAAAATGTGATTATGAAGTTTGTGGCTATTATTTTAGTGAAAATTTAATATATATTTAGAGATTTGAAACCTTTATATAGTCGCATTGACAATGAAGAATGATTATTATTAAATCCTTGCCTGATATTTGTAAGAGAAAAAAAATAAAAAGGAATATCTTATTTATCAGGTCAGATATTTAAATATAGAATTATAATAAAAATTATATCAAAATTTAGTGTGTAATAAAAATTTCTTCATTTTTCAGGAATATAAGGAACTTTGATATTTGTTTTCGTGAACAGTGACAACCAAATGAACTCATACTTAATTTATTATATTAAAAATCAATTTGAGACTTATTACACTCATGAATTTAATATGCTCTATTTAATGATTTTGATATTGATAAATAATATCAAAGACTTATATTAACAACCTATTTCTTAATAAAGAATTAAATTATTATAATGCAATAGTTCCTTTTTTGAATTTAAATAAATATTGTAAAAATATTTGTTTCATTATTTCCTATTTACTTCTTTAATCTATTCAGCAATATCTAATAACTCTTTTCTAATTTAGGCTTTTTATTTAAAATCTGATTCTTTTTAGGCTTATCTAATAAGTTATTCGTATTTATCATTTAATTACTTGAGTTTACTTTCGATCTCACTATTACGAACAGTTAAGGGAGGTGATAATAACTTTTTTTTAGAATGCTATTACTAATGATGTTATTCTTAAGATATTAAATTGTGCTAATCAGATTTAAATGGAGTAGTTTATTTCATATCTTCTAAACAATCTTTTATGGCTTATTTTAAAACACTTGATTTTACAAAGCTTTATTCAAATCTTGGACTTGTTATTTGTGGTGATAAGAAATCTAAATTAAGTTTTGAGACTTTATTATTATTATTTGGTTATTAATTATTACTTTAATATTAATTATTGATAAGCATATCAAATTCAGGATCTTCTGATTATGAAATATTTCTCAATCTTTTTTTATTTTATTAATTATTTTTCTCTTCATATTCTAATCTTAATTTCAATTATTGATATTTTAAAGTAATATCTTTTAATTCTATGGTTAATTAATGAATATTTGATTAATATTCATTACTTTTATTTAATAATTCTTAAATTCTTTTTGTTAATTAATCTTCAGTTTATTAACGCTGCATTTATAATTCTTCCATCATTCTCAAATATGCTTTCTCTTTTTCTTCAAGTTATGATCTATATATTTGAATTTACTTTTCATACTCCTATAACTTAAACACTGGACATCGCTCTTTATAATCTAGAATATCTGCTTCCAGTTAATGTTTTTCAGTTTATAATTTTTCATATTTCTTTTCTAACTTTTTTGCATATTATTCACCTGATTCTACTCTCTATCTTAATTCCATAATTTATTCTAATTATTTTGAGTTTTCTTCCTATTTTTGCTAATCTACCTTTTACATTAAACCTCTTTCATTAGCTTTATAAGCTTATAATTATCTTTGTAAATATTCAATCTAATTTTATTAATCTTATCTATCTTTTTTTCCATCTTCAATCTTTTTTATTAAATCAGTGACTCTATCTTAGTATTCTTTTAAATGAACTAATCTTTCTTATTACAATTAATCAATTTAATAAATGTAATTACTAATGTTTTCTTTTTCATTTTGTTATCTTTGCAATTACATGGTTAATGTTTCATTCTAATTTCTCAACTCAGATATTTACTATAATAAATATTCTTCATCGTTAGATTTTGTTTTCGTTGGTAATAATGTGTCACTTCTTTAAGTTTCCATAACCTTTATTTTCTCTTAGAGCGCTTTCATTGCCATAACATATGCATTTGAAGAATTTCTATATCCAGAATTTGTTGTATTTCTTTATTCTCGTTAAAACATAGTTTATTTTTACAATAATGATTAAATTTATTGCTAGAAAAATAGATCGATCAACATCATTCAATAAAATAGAATACAAAAATGAACAAGAATATTAATTGGAATACCCTGTTAATATTCAAAAACATCTAATTATGTCTGAATAAGAATATAGTGATGATTATTAATTATTGAAATAAAATCCTCCTGGAGTTAGTTTGAAATTAAATATTGGAACACCAAAAATTGAAACACCATCAAAATTACCATATGTCTTAGATGAAAATCATTAAAGGTATTCATAATATAATAATATTTAAGGTAAAAAGGTAGAATGAAATTCTATGATGATGCCAAGAAATATGGATTTTTAGTTCTTGATGAAGATGGAACAGATGTATTTATTCACTATGACGATCTTTAAGCAGCAGGAATTACAATGGAAAAGATGAAACTATATAAGATTGTTCATTAGTATACATTATTCTTAAGATTAGGAATAATCCTCAATATGTTAAATTTACAAAAAATGGAGGTCCTTACTTTGAATTTACTCTAATGAATTATATGGGAAAATATAATAAGAGTAGAAAAGCCATAGATCTTTAATTATTGAATTAAATTTGATATGAAATAACTAGTATAATAATAATCTATTTAATTATAATGCTTATATAATTATTATACTTAATAAATTAATTTATTTATATTATTCTTTATTTTACTTAATTCAATTTTTGTAAATTTTATATGCAAATAAACTGAATCATATTACTATTTATTCAGACTTATAAAATCATTATTTTTTTCAACATGGGTTGTAGGGTTACCAAAAATAAGAAATAATTAAAGGATTTAGATTATTTTATGAATATACTTGATAAAAACAAAACTGATGATGAAACAAAGATTTAAGAAAAAAATAAATTATTTTAAATTACAAAGAATCCAATATTTCAAAGGAGACTATCATAAAAAAAAGAGAACTCTTTGACCAAATAAACATACTCTTATTTAGAAAGAAATAATTTAACTTTAAGGGCTTGTGAATATTTATGATTTCTTTTTGTGTTTTATATTGACTATATAATCATTATTTATAAACTTAAACTATTAAAATCAATTTCAAACTAAAATTAAAATATCATTTCAATTAATCATAGTTGAATCAGCTATGTAGTTTTATTTATTTCAAAAACATATTATTATATGTTGTATAATAATGGGAGATTATAATTTACTTTAAAATCCATAATTAATATTCTAAGTAAAAAACATTAATGTACAATACTTTACTGTAAAATTAAGATATATTATTGATTGAATAATTTCTCTATTTTAATAAAATAAAAGTTTATTTGTTTAAAAATTAAATTAGTTCTAAGATAAGTGATTCAAATTAATGATTAAAGTTCATTAATATGTTAAATTAATTTTAGAAGAATAATAATAATTTTAGTAATTACATTAAGTAATACATTAGAATTTATAGCAAATACTATAAAAAGAAAAAGAGAATATTACAAAAATAAAATACTATTTGCAGACTATATTTAAAATATTTATAAGGAAATAATTGATAAAATATAATATTTATTAAAGTCTATTATATCGTATTCTATTAATATCTTTTGTTTTAATTCAATTGTAGATATCAATATATACTCTATTCTATTAATTGTCAGATTTTTTTTAATTTAATCAATCATGACATCAAATTCTGGATTAATAACTCCAGTATATAGTACTTCAAAATGAATTAAATTTTGAGTTATTTCTGAAATTGCTTCTTTTTAATTGATTATATCGTTCAATTCTATTTTTAAAAGTATATCTGAGCAACTTTAGAACATTTCAATTTTTAAACGATCATCAAAAACTGAATAAACTGAAAATTTTCATCAATATATGATTACGACATTATATATATATTAACAATAAAAAAATTAAAAATGGGTTGTGCATAAGGAAAGCAAAAATAGAAAGCAGCTAAATTTTAGTATGAAATTTATGATAGAGCCTAACCATATGGAATATAAGAAGAGAAAAGATATGATATTCAAAAAAATCCTATCGTTTAACGAAGAGTTAAAAGTCATTCACAAACTCCTGATTAATAAAATAGAACCAAGCAATATTCTGATTTACTTCCAAGTTCTAAACCTTAATTTTGAAAAGCCTTCATCAATAAATAGAGTTATAAGCTTTGAATCTATAAATCTATATATCTAAATCTTAAAACAACATTCTCAACAAAAGGTCTTAAAAACTTATGTATTTCAAGTCGTATTTTCTGATTCTTTTATTCTTTTTAACATTTTGTCAAATTTTATTTTTATCAACAAAAAGGCAAGAAAACAAATAGACTTGTGATACTCTTAAAATCATTCAATAAATTTTAGAATGATAAAATCTCTAAAGCCATCTTGTACTAGTTGACACTTATTTTAGGTTTGATCAAATTTACTTAATAATAAACTTTAAGAATCAAAAAAAAAAAAAGAAGTCTGCAAAGTAGTTTGTTAGATGAATAGAATAACATTACTATTAAATATTATAGAAATACTTCTTAGGTTTAAATTGATATAATAATCATTACAATATTTTTTATATACTAAATAATACAATTAGACAATATCAATACATATTTTTGATTATTTGATTATGAAAACTTATTAGAAATATTGTTCAATCTGTAGTTATGAGCTATTGTATTTGAAAAATTATTTAGTTCTTAATATTTAATGTCATAAATTAAAGAATAAGTAAAAATTAATTCTGATATTTAGAAAGTAAAATAAAGAATAAAATAATCATAAAAAAATAATAATCTAATTGAATATCCATATAATAAGTATCATAATACTATAAATTTCATTTAATGAATTATGTATAATAGAATTTTATAAATTAGAATTATTTGTAAATCTTTTTTTATTATATCAGCATTTTTAGGTCATAAAACAATATTAGAATTATTGTAATATATTTTATGAGTCCTTTTTGAGTATTAAATATTTGGGTATTATAAAAAATTTACTACTGAACTACTGAACAAGATAGATTTAATAATTTCTTTTTATTGAATTAGATTTTGTGAGATAATTAATTAAGATTTAGAGGAATAAAATATGATTTAATTGAGAATTTAGATTAAGATGCATATTTGATTAATGTAATTATAATAAATATATATATTATAAATACTAATATATATATTTATTAATATTAAATTTTCATTGGATGAATAAATTGGAATTAGAATATATATAGTAATTCAATTTTGGGGAAGGCGGGATGAAGAAATAATTAATAAATGGATTTTGAATTCCCTCAATTGTTAAACCCAACTGACAATGAACCTTATGTTCTAGTTTTTGAGTAGTAGGACGTATTGAAAAGCAAATTATTGACTGCTCGTCATGTTAGTTAAAGAGCTCATGAAGCAAATGGAAAATCAGAACTAGTTGTAATAAAAGACTTTTTATAGTATTAAATCTTAGTTATCATTTTAGAGACTTAACAAAAAAGTCACCATTAGCTTATACTCCAGATGCAGAGTCTGAATAACTAGTTTAGAATTTTAACACATAACATAAAGCTTACTAAAACAAGATATAAGCATAAGTAGATTCATTTAAACAACTTAATTAAAAATTGTAAGAAGGATATGATAATGCTTGCAATAATGTAGTTTCTTAATTGGTAGAAGGTGTAAAAGGTGAGACCTAAAATGTTTAAAAAGCATTTGAGTCTTTATAAAATGTTCTAAAGAGTGATCCTGAATAGGAAGCTTCAATCCCAAAACCAAAAGAAATAGTTAATAAAGTATTATTATTGATATATTTCATAGATATCAGAACTAAGAGCAGCTCCAGAATTACCAGAGTATTTATTTTCAACAACAAAGAAGGTAAGAGCTTGGAGAGAGGCTCCAAATGAATTATGTGTTTGGAACAAAACAAAAGAGCAATTTTATAAAAATACTTTAGAATCAACTCTTAATTAAGAACTATAAGATAGATCTGAATTAGCCCTTAAATTTTGGAATTAATAAATATAAAGATTAGGAGAATAGTTCTTAAATATTTTATAAGAAGATTCTTCATTATAATAATAAAATTTTGTTAGTTTGAATATTGAAACAGCAGAGGCATTTGCATTATTATTGAATACAATGATAACTTCTGAAACAAGGATAGTATTACATATAGGAGATTTCAGTTAAGCTGATTCTAAATCAATTGCTGAGTCAATTTAAAGATTAACAAGTATAGTGAATCTATCAATAAAATGGAAAGTATCTAATAAAGCTTAAGGTTTATCTCACATAGCTTAAGGTAATAATAAATAATGATTATTAAAGCTATTGGATAAGCTGAATAATTGAAAATTTTGACATTTGAATTCCCATCTAATGTTTAAGCAAATTAAGCAAAAGATTTTTTTACAGAATTTAAAGATGTTAAATTATCAAACTTAGAAGAAATTAATGTAGTTGCTGAATAATCAAATATAAATTCTGCAATATAACATATTGCAAAGGCATTAAAATCAGTTGGTGGTACATAAGTATCAAGATTATCATTAAATTTCAGGTATTTATTAATTATTGATATTATATATAGTTAAACTTAAGTAGATAATAAATCAGCTTAATAAATTGGTGATGCTTTGAGTGTTTACAAAGGAGTAAAGAAATTAATTTTAAATTTTTCTGGATTTTCATTAAATTCAAATAATATTAAAGATGATGGATTTAGTAGTTTAATTTAATATGTTCCAAATTTCTCATCTACTTTAATTGAATTAAATATAAATGTTGGAAGAAATCAATTAACTGATAGTTCTTTAACAACTTTAAATAAATAATTCTAGAGTGTCAAATGGAGTGCATTAAAGAGTGTAAATATCAGTGTTCATTATAATAAAATAACTGAAGAAGGTGCAAGAAAATTAGGAAAAGTAAAAATTAATTATATAATATTTTAGTTCCTTCATAGTTTACCAATTTTAGTTAATTTATAATTGAATTTGAATTCAACTGAAATTAATCAAAAAGGATTGAGTTTTATAATTAATTAATTGGGTCCATAAGTTAATGCATCAATTTAAGCAAAATAAACTAATGTAACAAAAGAAGAAGCAGAAGAATTGAAAAATAAAATAACATCATTAAACATTTGATATTATTAATTAATTGATTGCATTATCAAAGAAATATATATATATATATATATCTATCATTAATTTGGTTTCTTTTTAAAATTAATTTAAGGAGATTCATTTCTTCTATAAACTTCAACTTCTGGAGAACTGTTTTCTTTTTATTCTAAAAATGAACTCTATTCTTTTCTAAGATAATTAAATTAAATAATTACTTTCTGGTTAAGATTTCATCATATTTCTATAATTTTTCAGATATAAATGTAAGTTCAGTAACATATTCTTTCATTCTTGTATTATATAAGTCTTTCATTGCTTCAAAACATATTTATGCTTCCTCTACACTTTTAATATCTAATTATGTAATTCGTTCATTTAAATAAAGTTCTACTTTTTCTGTGATTTCCTTTTAATTTAAAGGAATTCCATTAGTCATAGGTAACATTTATTATTATGTTTATAATTTCTTATTGTTTGAATTGACATTACCACCTCTTTAATATTATTCTAATTCTCTAATAAGTATCAGTTTTTCCTATTCTAATCTTTTGACTACTGCTTCTAAATCAATTTTTTCATTTCTTCTTATCTTTATATAATTATATTTATAATAATACCTCATTTTCTAATTAACCAACTCTTTAACTAAATCTTAATGTTGACAAAGTTTCTTCTATGTTATCATTTTCAGAGCTAATAGTTGAAATCATGACTGTTTTACAATTGCCTCCTAATGAATCTTTAAGTAGAGTGGTCATTAATGAATTCCTATATGGTATATGTTATCTATTGGCACCCTTCATTCTTTCATTTAATGCTATAATGACTTATTCTAAATAGGTTAATGAAAGATTTATATATTTAGCTTCATTTAATAGATTACCTTCAACTTAAGATTTACTGATTCTTTCAGATCCAGCCAAATCAACTAAGTGGAGTTTGCTTAAAAAACATGTTTCACTGGTTGTATCACAACCTTCAAGAGTTACAGTGAATATACAATGGGATCTTGAACTTGATTGATTCATTGGAGTTGAACTAACTTATCTAATAAAATTGCCCATCATAAGTAGATCAATTCCTTCTTATTCATTATTACACTAATGAATTGATAAGTTTTTTAAATGAATATTGTTTTAATCATCTTCATATAATGCAATCTAATATGTGTAATAGAAATTAATTACTTTGTTCCATTATTCTAAAGGAGTTTCAAGATGTCTCTTTTCTAATAAATCATAAGCATTTTCATTATAAATTTCCATAAAGGAAATATAGATTTTATATTCAAACTTAGTTCGTTTATCTATTTCATCAAATATATAAGATAATGCTCTTGGGATTACTCCTCTTAATTACCAAGTTTCTGCACCACTCATTGTATATGTTTTACCTGATCCAGTTTATCCATAAGCAAAAATGGTAGCATTATATCCATCTAAGAAACTAAAATAAGATTTGAAATTAGTTCATTACCTATTAATGACTGGAATAGTGACAGTACTAAATACTTATTCTTATGTAGACTTTTAATCAAATATATGAGTGAAATTGAATTCTAGATTATCTCTACTATTATTGACTAATCCAAATTTGACATGTCTAGGTAATATAACTTATAATCTCTTATTATGATTCAATTGATATTGCATGGCATTTTAAGATTAACTGTTTAAATTACAATAATTACTTATTGGATGGTTTTAATCTCAAGTATACTTCAAATTGAGATTTCATATGCAGTTAAAAATTATATATATATATATATATATATATTTAAGTATCAACCAGATATTCTAGTTTTTGAAATAACTCTTTTGAGTATACTTACATCCTTTTCTGCAATTTCATATATTTCTTTAATGTTTTATCTACATAGAAAACATTCCTTATTTTTCTAAGCCATTTATATAGCACATTAATAACAGATACCTCCATGACCACAAGTCATTAACACAGCATTTGGAGGATTTTCACAACAAATAATACATTTATAATCTTATTATTATTAAGGATCTTATGATTTTTATATGATTTTATTATTTGTATTACGTTCAGTATCAATTTCATTTTGATTTGTACATTTTAATATAACTATTTCTGGATCTTTTATTTATTTAAAATATGCAGATGAAAATTTCTATAAAAATATCTATGTTTTAGTTGGTTCTTTTTTGATCTTCTAATCTTAATTTGGAGTATTAGGAGATGAATCTCTTGATTCCAATTAATTTAATGACAATACAAATTCTACTATATCATTAAATAAATATTTAGATATTGCACTAAACATCAAAACATTAAATGATATTAATATGTACATAATACAATCTCCAAATTTTAAATTTAAATCAACTTCTAAAATATTTAAAGTATTTATTATCCAAATACCAGCTATTAAACTACTTAAAATACTAATATATAATGTCCATACTAATGTTTTAACTTAAATTATAATAATTAATACTTTCACTTTTATAATTGAGTATTTCTGAACGATTATAAATGCTGAAAATTTTAGAGATTAAAATCAATAGAATAGTAATAGTTGTTCCAACTAAACCACTTAAAAACATCCAATACCACCAAAAGGCTTATGCCCATGTCCAATTCACATATGCATTTAATTTTAATGTTATACATAATACAGATACTATTAAACAAAAGCGATAAAATATTATTGTCTAAATTTATGATATTTTATATTACCAATCTAATTATGGTTGAATGTTCATATTAATCTTCTGAATTCTTATTACATCCTATATTCACTATAAATGATAGAATCAAAAATGTGTTGCAAAAAATGTAATAATTTAGACCTAAATAATATATGGTTATGACATATATCTAAAATTAGATGATGGTTTATACTTACTTGAAGTAAGATGTGAAATAAATGATCAAATTTCTTTTATGTCTTCCCTTCAGTATATTTCAACAACATTACTATTTCATACAGTATTGTTAATACTAGGGGTAGAGCCATTGGAGCACTTTAGTATTAAAATAGAGTAAACAGAAGAACATATATGTTGTAATATAGGTATTTGAAACAAAAGCACTTTAAAGTGAATTCCACAACATCTCTTTATAGGTATAAAAGAATTTTTACTTTTACATATTTTCACTATTGTTAAATAATTTAAATTATCAAATATGAATTAATATATGCGTATCAAACCTGTGTTTGCAACATTCTATCCAGATCAATGTAGAAATCATTCAAAAGAAAATAGGATAAGTTCTGGATATGCTTAAAGTAGAATGGAAGATAAATCATAATCAGTTGATAAATTTAAAAATCAAGTGATTTTATTGTAAAATCAATAAAATGATTTGAATGAACATATGTAAATGCAAATTAGTAAATTAATGGAAAGAATGAATAATGCAGAACAACATATTGCAAGAATATATGAGAGTGGATGGATGGATGCAATAAATATAGTTTAAGAAGACATGCATAAATTACAACTTTAATTATAGAGTGTCTAATAAATGATTATTGTAGAAGAAGAGAAATCATAATAATTTTATATAGAATAAATCAATCAAATGAAATATACAGTATTAGATTAAATTAATAGTATGGATTAAGAAATTAATGTAAAAATAGAAGATTTAAGAATTAAATTAGATGAATACAATTAAGAATTTAAATTAAAATTAGTAGAAACTAATGATATAGATAAATATTAACGATTTAATGAAGAAATGTCAATATATTTAAAAAATAATAATAATAATTAAAATCTCACTCTCTCACCTAAATATAAAAGTAGATCATAAAAATTATCATTACCTTAAATAAATGAATTAGATGATTCTTAATAACTTTAATCCTTTTAATTTTTATAATCTCAATCCCTTTAATATTAATTAGATAATGAAGGACATTTATTATTAAATGGTGAATATATATATGATAGTGTAGGAAATAAATAATAATTGTCAAATGATTAAATAAAATATATAAATTTAATACCCAAATGATGCATATTAAATATATTCATATCTTTTATGAACTCATCTTTTTTAGACTACCACTATCTACTTTACTTCTTTAACTAGTATGTAAACGCATTGTTGATTTCCTTCTCAATCTACTAGTCAAAGTTTCATCCATCTTTTCAGTTTTGATTTCATCTTCTCTGAAAATATGAATCTTTTGACATATACTCTCTGGTATATATTTAAATAACAATGAAAATATTATTCCAAATACTGCAAAACCTAAACAAATTAAATGTTAATATAAAGTAAGATGTGAAACTTTCACATATCTACCACCATATTGAATTAATAATATTTAAACTATAACAGTAATTGTTTGAACTATCCAAAACAATGGATTATTACAAAAATTTGTAAATGGATTTTTTGTATGATAATCTAATTGTCTGCATGATATTGAATTGAATACTTGCATCAAAACAAATGCTTAAAAAAAGATACTCATTTATACTACATTTTAGGGATACTTATGATAAAATTAACAATTCTTACTTTCTAACCAATAAGTTCAGGTGGTAAAGAACAATCAATATATTTTGGTAACAAAAATAAAATAAATGATAGAATTGTTATTTAATATAAACTAGCTCCAACTATAGTTCTATACATAGTAGGTGAAACAATTTAATCTGTTCTTTTATATGGTAGTCTTTAAAGTACTTTAATAGATGGAGGTTCTGTAGCCAAAGCTAAAGATGCAAAAGTATCCATAATTAAATTGACCCATAACATTTCAATTGCATTTAATGGAGATTATTTTAATATAACAGCACCTGTAAAAGACATAAATAATGCAACTAAATTAACAGTTAATTAAAATTAAATAAATTTCCTTATGCAATCATAAATATTTCTACCCCATATCATAGCTAATAATATTATGAATAATATATACCTATAAGAATAGAACTAAAATTATCATCAATAAGAATTATATCTGCAGCATCCTTAGCAACATCAGATCCAGTAATTCCCATAGCAAATCCAACATCTGCCTTTTTTAAAGCAGGTGCATCATTAGTACCATCTCCTGTGACAGCTACAACATTTCCTTCTTCAATTAAACCAGTAACTAATAAATATTTATCTTCAGGAGATGCTCTTGCCATTACTCTCATCTCTTTACTTATTTTAGAGAAGATTTGCATATTTTTTATTTTCTTTATTTCTTTACCTTCATCATCTTTAACACTAATCAATCCTCCAACCAATTCTCTGAATTTTTTACCTTCAATTACTTCAAATTCTTATTGTGCTCTACCTTATTCCAAAATACCACATTCTTTAGCTATAGATTATGCAGTTATTAGATTATCTCCAGTAACCATTCTTACTGTCACACCAGATTAATTACATAATTTAATTGCATTAGGAACATCTGCTCTAATAGGATCTTTTATACCACAAATAGCTATTAATGTTAAATCTTTATCTAAATCATCTTCAGGAATTTAATGAATATGAGCTTTCATATTAACAGTAGAACCTTTAAAATTTGAACTTTATGGTTCAAAATCTCTGTAAGCTATTGCAATAGTTCTTAAACATTGAGATGCATAATATTCAATTACATTATGTAGAATATCATCCTTTTTAGTTTTATCAAGTTATAATTCATTTCCATTTTTTGAAATATATCTAAAACATTATTATAATATGATTTCTGAAGCACCTTTTGTAAATATTCTAACAGTTTAATTTTTTTAATTTAAAACAGCAGTACTCATCTTCTTTCTTTTACTATTAAAAGGTATTTATCTAAGAATCTTTTCATTTTATCTATAATTAGAATATTTGAATCCAAAGATATCTGCTAATTCAATTAATGCACATTCAGTTTTATTTCCTATTTATATCCATCTATTATTATTTTTATCTTTATTTGGATTTGCATTAGAATTATAACAAATAGATTCAGCCATTACTTCTACTGTTTATTTAGATAACAAATTATTTTAATTAAATTAGTCTTTAGTTATAAAACTATTTTCACTCCAAATAGTAGTAACTGACATAATATTTTAAGTTAGAGTTCCTGTTTTATCACTACAAATATTATTGGCTCCTCCCATAATTTCACAAGATGCTAGATTCTTTACTAAATTTTATTCATCTTTCATCTTTCCTACTGAATATGCTAAAGCTATAGTAACAGCAAGAGGTAATCCTTCAGGTACTGCAACTACTATTATAGTTACACCTATCATAAATGCATCTATTATAAATGACAAAGTTTTTAGATTCATAAATTCATGTTTATGTTATACAAATACATCATAAATTAAATGTCCCATTAATGCTATAAATGTTAAAATAGCTACTAATGTTCCCAATTTACCTATATCTTCAGCCACTCCCTCTAATTTTTATTAAAGTGGTGTTGGTGGATTATCTTAATTTAATAATAATTTTAATTATCCTTAAATTGTATTTTATCCTACTTACAATACAAGCATATAACCATTTCCATCTAAACATTTTGTACCACTAATTAAAAATGGACTACAATGATGATTATCTAAAGATAATTATGATTATTAAATCATTTCATTAAATGGTAACTTTTTTATCTCATCAGATTCTCCTGTCATTGCAGATTCATCTACTTTTACTGAAGATCCTTAAATCATTAAACCTTTATTTTTAATATTATTATTATTTATACCATCTACTGCAAACATATCTCCAATACTAAATTAAAGTATATCACCTACTACTATCTCTTTTACTGATATCTCAACTATTCCACCTCTTACTACTTATACTATTCCATCATCTAATCTTTTTCTCAATTACTAAAATTGTCTTTCTTTTAAATAATTATTACCAGCTGTTATTGAAACTATCAAAAATACAGCAAAAAATATTGTTGCACTATTTAACTTATAACTATTTTTAAATACCCTTCTGTCCATCCAGTTGCTACACCTTCATTTATCATTCCTATTATTGTACTTACAAAAGCTGCCAATAATAAAATCTAAAGCATTGTATCTCCAAAGCATTCCAAAATTAAATCACATAAGGATTCAGATTCCTTCTCTATTGGATCATTGTTACCATATTTCTCTCTATTCTCTATTACTTAAGCTTCAGAATCAATCCCTTTCTATCTTTATTAACTAATTTTATATACCAACTAATGTGATTTCAATTATTTTGCTAAACCTTAATCTCCTCCCCATTTCTAAACTCTTTTCAAACTTGATCCATCATTTATAGATGCTAACTAAAATAAATCTTTAAAATCTTCAATCCCATGCACTTATTCATAATCTTAAGAGTCCTACTATTTTGAATATTAGTGTTTCATATAATAATAATAATATATTAACGAATTTTCAAATTACTTATGGACTTATCATAAAAGAATCCTCAAATTAGAGAAGTCAATTCAGACAGTGCATCCAAAGGATATTCTAGTAATAAGTCTTAATTTCAATCTACATTCAAATATCAATATCCAATTGAGAGTTAGTATTATTCATTATATTAAAAGAAAAAAATGAACATGAATAATCAATCAATTCTGAACAATCTCTTTCATCCATCCAAGAAGTAAATCCCAAAAATGATAGATCTCAATATGATGAAGAATCTTAAATGTTCAATTACAACTATGATTAGATCATCAATCAAAATTAAAGATTAGAAAGTCAAAATATTAGTCTTTAAGCTCCAATTAATCAACAATAAATCGATCTACAAACTATTCAAGATTAAGAACCAATTTAAAAGATTTCAAGTCCAGTCAAACTACAATAATAATAACTTTAGCAATCTCGATCATAATCTTAAGTATTCTAACCTTTCCAACCCTATTAATAATAATAAATATCAGCCTCAAAAAGCAGAATAGATAGATCATTTGATGGCATCTCCGTTTTTACTAATATTTCTAAATAGAGAACAACACCTAATAGTAGAAATAAGGCTAATTCCTTTTACTATGATAGAATAGGAAATTAAGTCAGTGAAATTATGCCTCCAATGATTGACAACTATTTAACTCATGTTCTTCTTTAAACAGCATTACCTTTATTAATAGTGTTCATTCTATATGTCATAAATTAGTATGTGTTTAGTTTAAATATAGTTTCTTATAACGAGCAATAGATCAATTTTGCTATTTACCAGAGTAGTATTGTATTTGTAATGGTTTTGGAGCTAAACTTTGGTCATGGGCTAGATAACTTATAGTAATTTAATTAAATATCAAATTAGATGTGGAAATTAGGTTTGATAGTATATAGAAAACAATTCTTATGTAGATTGGCTATGGGTTCAAGTAATTTAAAACATAAAGAACCTGTTACAGAATACATTTTTTTATTTTTGTTTACAATTATCTTTGATTTCATTTTAGTTATCTGGATAGAAAATAATTAAGATTATGTTTATGTAATATTGTAATATTTATTAAATTTATAAATAGAGTTTATTGCATAGGGGTTGTAGTCTTATTGAATACTTTCAGAGTAAAAGATTGGGATATAGTTTTTAAAAAAGGAGCAGGAGTATTTTTATATGATTTTGCTTTATTAATGTTGATGGTGTTCATTTATTATGCTGTTCCAAATGTTGTTGAATCACTTTAAGATCGTTAAGGTAAAATATCTGGAATGCAGAGTTTCTTATATCTTTATCCCTTATTTGATTGGATTATGGAAATGTTTATGGATTATATTTACAATTAAACTTAATTTGCAGAATTATATATATACTAACTCTAATTAATAATTCTTGGCATGAAAATAGGGTAATATATTAATAATATTAATAGAATTTTAAACATAGTTGATATTTGGACATTTGAATTTTGGTATAATATTTTAATGCTTGGCATAATGAGAGCTAATAATTCTTCTATGTTTCTAACAATATTTCTTAGAAGATGGGTTTTCTATTTAATTCCTGATTTATAATTCATTACAAAAATGAGTGAAACCAAAAAATCTTTGAAAGTATTATTTTATTTTTTATTTGAAAAGGGAAAACATGGTGCTTATTTAGAACATTAATTTTGGATTGTTTTCTATTATTTTTTCTATTTAACCAATTCAAGTGTTCCTTATATTGCTAAAAAAACAGTTTTTATTAGTAATTGTAAATTTGATAATGAGACTTGGAATTTAACAAGAGAGTATTATTAACCAATTTTTGTTTGGGGTTTATTACTTATTGCTGAGATTGCTGGGATTATGTTAAATAAATAGAAGTATAAAATATTGTTTTGATTTCTTTTTAGAAAATATGATAATATTAAATATGAAGGTGGTTGTAAATTCAATTTGATAGGAAATATATTTATACGATTATCAGGTTATTACTTTTTTTAAATTGCTGTAATGATCCCATTCTTATTCAAATCATTAAATGATATTAGTTAAATAAATAAACATTTAGAAACAAAAGATACAGAATAATATTGATTTTTATCGTATATATATAAGTCACAATTGATTTATTAAAACTAAATATTTATTTAAATAAGAATTAAAGATTAATAAAATAGGAAAGTAAAAATATCTTTCTAAGAGGAGAAAAGACATATTAAAAATTAAATACATTTTGAGGGATTGTTATTTAGTATGCAACAATGAATTGTAATATTTATTTTAATTTAAGAGATGTTATGAGATTCATCTAATGATTGATCAATTTAAGTGATACTCATTTTAATAGAGTGAGTTTGTGAAATCCAAAAAAGGATTGAGTTTAATGTTATTTGAAATGGGATTATATACTTACTTAGAGAGAAATCACAGTTTATTACTCAAAATAAAAATTTTTATTCTTTTATTAATTAGAAAAAAACTTAAAATTATAATTTTTTTATCTGTTATAAAATTTTTCAAAAATTTAAATCTCATTATCAAATAAATAGGAAGGGCTGTGTTTCACTTAATAAAAATTAATATCCACACAGAGTACTAACCTTAAATATAGGGAATTATAATTTTTTATTGAAAATTAAAAAAATGATAATTCATGATTATCATCAATGATCTTCTTATTATGTTTAACAATATTTATTGTGTTGTATTAGGTAAAAATAACCACCTCATCGATGCTATATGAATGCTTTTGATTTTTTAAATTATGTGTTAATATCTAGTATGTGTTTTGAATAAATTTAATGTTATTAACAAAATTTTGTTTATTAGAGCGCCATCGATGCAATAACAAGTTATTAATTCCTTAATTTTCTAGACTCAAGAAAAATGCATTAGACAATTAATCATTCCAGAATGTACAAGTAGAAGTGATCAAAAAAGTCAATCTGTATAAGATGACGGCTCAAAAAAAACTTTGTTAAGACTTGCAGACCAAGAAGTACCTTCTTCAATAGGATTTCTAATGTCAAATTAAAATAAACAGGATTCATATTCATAGCTATAGTTAGATTAATAAGAAAACGATTTCTAATAATAGAGTAATAACAAAAAGAAAGGTAAAATATTTGCCATATTTTATTATTATTTTTATAGAAAGAAAAAAACATCACAGCCTCAAATATTTAAGTCGCTAGGTTCACAGTCTCGTCGGATCACTAAGAGAAACCACTTATAAACAGATGGCAGATTTGCTTGCTTCAGAAATAAGTAAATCAAGTTTATCTGTAAATATAATAATTAAATTTTTATATTTTCTAGTCAGAAAGTAAAAACCTCAAACGTAGAGTTTATGATTCCATTAATGTAATGGTTGCTCTAGGAGTGCTAGAAAAGCAGAAAAAGATTATAACAAAAGGATCGATGTTTCAATAGAATCATATGACAAGTAGATATGCTAGAGATACAAGAGACAGATATGAAATGTTAAGAGTACATTTTAATAATAAGCATTAGCAATAACAATATGATGAACTCAAAAGAAAGAAGATCTTATTTTAAAAATTGACAGATTAGGCAAAAAGAATAAATACCTTAATTGATCAAAATAAGTATTATACTTAAACAATATCTATATTAGACCTCTCTAAAAAGACGAATCAGACTTCCTACAAGGTCAATAACGTAAAATATATCAATTCCCAATCATGATATTTAAATTACCATAAAATGCAAAAGTATTATAATGAATTATACAATAGCTTAATATCATACCTATAGAAGGGAAATCTTAGGTCTAGATTTTTTCAGATCATGAAATTAAAATTATAGGAGATTATGATATTTTGCCTTTAATCAAAAGAGTTGAAGAAGCAAAAGATAAAATAATTCCTGGACCAATGTTGAATTTATGATAAACTAATAAAGAAAATTTTGCCATCATTTTCTTACTAAAACCATAATTGTCCATTTATTAGGACTTTTAGCACAACTATATGTTTATTTTTTTTAAATTTTAATTAAGCGGGAAAATTTTATTTTAAAAAATGTGCAATAATAATTATTAATCAATCAATCTAAACATTTATTACATAATAGTTAATTCTTTAAAGAATTAATAATATGATAGAAAGATTTCTTAAAATTATTTTATATATCTTTTGATTTTTTGATTTAATATAATAGAATAACAACTTATTTATCTTAATAACTTAATAGTAATTTACATAAATTTTGATTCCCATATTCTTTTTAGTATTCAAACTTAAATCAAATTTTTAAATTACATATATTAAATGATAAGATTCTATTTATATTTTCTAATAACTTTTTGTTAATATATGTTAAAGTAATTATTTTTTAAAGTCTCTTTTAAAGTCTTTAGTTGTTATAAACTATGAATTCGTAGAGATGTTTTGATATTAATTTTTATATTATAATTAAATGTAAAAATAATTTGAAGGATAAAATGATTTAAAAGATTACTTTATAGATGTTGAATAAGTTTAAAGCAATGTAAAATTTAATAATAAAATATATCAGAATGTCAATCCATATGATATTAAATGTCCAATTTGTTTAAATGTATATTTGGATCCAATATCATGTGACTCATGTATGAATCACTTTTGCAAAAAATGTCACTTATAGAAATAAGTAAGTGTATAATGATAATGAAAAAGAGTACAAAATGCCCTTTATGCAATAGACAAGGTGAGACAAGAAAAGCATTTCCTCTTTTAAAATAATTATTGAGTTAATTAAAAATTAAATGTCTTCATTTTGATTAGGGTAAGTAAATAATTATGATTTTAGGTTGTCAAGAAATAACTGATTATGATGGTTATGATAAACATATAAAATAATGCGATTTTAGTTAAGAAATTTGTGGATTAATGGATGGTAAATTAAAATGTAATGTGGTTAAATTTAAGAAGGATATATAAAAACATAGAATATATGAATGTAGTTTTCGATAATGTGAGTGTTGTCATTGTCATTAATTTGTAAATTATATATATTAAGTAATTCTATTAGTTTAGTAACTTTAAATTATAAACTCATGAACTTAAATGTGAAGAGGCTTTAATTAGATGTCCAAAATGTCATAAATAAAATAAAATAAAGGATCAATCTAATCATCTTCTTATTTGTGATTAGAACATAGAAAATTGTTTATATTGTAAAGGAGAATATTCATTAAAACAATTATTAATACATGAATATGAATGTCCATTACGACCTGTTTGTTGTGTTGGTTGTTCTTAATTATTTACTCTTAGTGTTTATTATATTCATTAAACTAAATGTCCAAAATTTCCATAAATATGTCCAAATTGTAATAAAAAAATTATCAGAGAATAATTTGAAGATCATAAATTTAGTGATTGTTTGATATATATTAAATCCTAACATGATAAAGAAATGTAAAATCTAAATATAAAACAATAATTGTTAGAAATTGAATTAAACAAAAAGGATAAAATAATAAAGTAAAGAAAAATTGGATTTTAGGTTTTCCAATCGATTTAAAGATCCAGATATCTTTTTAAATTTACAGAAGACAATTGCTTTTGTAAAATAAACAGCAACAAAAAAAAAAGATAGATTTGTTTTATTTAATAATCCAATTTCAGAATAAAGAAAACATTGGAAATTTAAGTATATATATAAAAATATAATAATAATAAGATGTTCATAAGTCAAAAGCTCATGGTATGCAGTAGGTATAACAGAATTATCCACTTTGCATTCTCTAAAAAGATATTAAGATATAGGACATGGATCCTATCTAGTATCTTCAAATGGAACTATGTATAATAATCATATGGATGATCAGAATTCAAAAGAAAGTAATTTTTCAATTAATACAAATGATATTATTGCTATTAATATTGATTTAGATGTAGGTTTATTGGAAATAATTAATATAACTTAAAATCTATCACTTTAAATAGAAACTATGTTTGAAGGAAAAGAATTTTTTGGATGTGCTTGTTTAAGAACTGCAGGAGATGAAATTCAAATAATTTAATGATTTTATATTTTTTAAATTAAGCTAAAATTTTAGTCTGATTAATTATAACAAATATAGTTCAAATGAATCAAATAACAAATAACTAAATTTATGTAGTTTCAAAACCATTAAAATCAAAGATAATCAAGGAATAGAATATTTGATTCCCCAATTTCAGAATCACTATCTTTATCAAGAAATTTATCAACTAATTTTACTCCTGTACAATATGATGAAAATTAAAAACAATTTATTAAAACATCACAATTTTCTATTAGCACTCCAGTTGATTAATCAATTTAAGAAGCATAGTTTTAGTAGCCTATTTAAGCAGAAATTCCCTTTGGAATATAAAATACTCCTTAATTTTTCAAGCAAAATAACAAAGTTATCAGAAGAGAACTAGAAAAATATATCGATGAAAGTGGATAGTTAAAAATTGATGAAGGATAATCAGATGAAATAGAATCAAGTGAAGAAAGTCTTAAATCCTTTCCTCAAAATAATATTAGTAATTTTGAAAGAAAAGAAAATCATAAATAATAGTTTTAAACAACAAATCATGAAAATTAATAGGAGTACACATTAAAAATTTCAGATCTAAAATCAGAATAAATCTTAAAGGATAGTTAAATACAAGAAAATCAATTAGATAGTAACTCTTAAAGAATAACACAAAATATTTTTAGTGTATAAAAAACCTAAATAGATTAATAGAGTGCATAATCTATATAATCTGTAAAAAATGAAAATTAAGACTTATCTATATCTAATGTTTAAATAAGTTAATAAATTCATTAATAATCTTTTGATTAATCAAATATTAGTTAATGGTCAATTGATTAAATTGAAATATTAATTTAAGGAATATAAGTTACAAAGTATAGTCGTAAGACATTATTTGGTAAAAAGAGAAGAATATTATAAGTTTCTCCAGATCTAAAATTAATAATATTTAGAAATTTAGAACATAAAATTACTAAGATATACTCAATTAATAAAATTACTAAAATGGAAAAAGGAGCTAATACAGAAACATTTAGATTGTATAAACCAAAATCAGATATTTTATGGTTATGCTTTTCAATATTTCTTGATGAAAGAACAGTTGATCTAAGTGTAAAAACTTAAGAATAGTTAAGATAAATTTTAGATTGTCTTTATGGATTAATTTAAAAACATTGATCACATATATATATATATATAGGACTATGAATTTAATGATAATTTATCTTTTTAAATATTTCATTCTCCAATTATGAGAAGTTTTTTTGTTTTTGTTGAATTATTTGCTAAATTTATATTTCAATTACTGTCATAGATTTTAAATAAAATTCCATCTAGCAAAAGATGAATTTATTTTATAAAGTCTGTTTTATTTATGAATAAATCAAAAATTATGTTATCTCTAATTTTATTAAAATTAGAAATAGATAAACTAATAATATATTAGAATTATTTAATATACAAAGAATCCTTATAAATTATTATTGATTAATAAAAAATTTTTATTTGAATATTTATATTAATCTCTATTAAATTTTTATTTGGACAACTTTAAATGACCAAAACAATAATATAATATTAATTATTTAATTATAATTATATGTAAATTAATTTATTTGGATTTTGTCTTTCTTTTAAAAAGTTTATTATCAAAAAATTCTAGATTATCTAAAAATTAGATGATCAACTTCTAGTAAATCAAATTCATTGTCTTATTAAATATCTTGACTCAAGGCTTAAGAATTAATATAAATAGAACAAAGAATTTTTATTATGCATTAATTATCTATTCTAATATAATAAAAATGATAATAGGCAAATAACAACTTCTCAATTAATAAAATCCATAATTTCAACACTCAGAAGGAACATGTCTTTGTGGTGTTTGCTTATGTGGAAATTGTTTATGTAAACCACAACCAATAAAACAATCTTACCATAATAAATTAAAGAGTGTTTATGAAACCGATTTCCAATTAAGATACTCAGTTTTACCAAAGGCCAGACCTATTATAATAGAAGAGCCTAAAAGAAGAAGAGCCTTCTCATAAAATTCAGTTTATGATGAAGACTTTACACCTAAATAAATATCTCAAGGCCATACTGATGAAAAATAGCATTTACCATAATTAAAAATACCTTTTGCAGGCTGTAATTCATATGCCTTATAATATCCTAACAAATTTACAGATCCTCCTTAATAGCTAAGACCAGTTAATCAAATATAATTACTTCCTGCAAAAATGGATAATATCTCTTAATATTAAAGAGAATATAAATTACGATAAAACTAAAGAGAACATGAATTCTCAAATTTCTCGAAAATCATGAATAAAAGATTGCATATTAATAGTAAGGACAAATTAGTTTACTCTAATTCAAGTTATTAGGAATAATTTAAGCCAAGATAGTCTATCCCTTTAATAAAATTACCTATACAATAATCAAGTTTACCATTTGGAATCAGCAACATTGGAATCAATCCATTCGTAAGTCAATCCAAATTTGAGTTTGCTTCAAAATCTTAAGACCAATGTGAAGCTAATAGAAGAATATTAGAAATTTGCAGTAAAAGTTGAATAATTACATTTTATTTTAAGAAGAATATTATATATTTAAAACAATATAAATAATCATGATCAGGTATCTCAAGAATAGATAATATTTCAAAAATGAAACTAATTACTAAATATATTGTATATATGTTGATTTGATTAATTATATTCTGTAAACATATCAATTATTAAGTTACATAGAGAAAATATTTCTAATAGTTTTAGGAAACTTTTTATGTTTTATAAGGGGGTTTCTTAATAAATATAATTCCTTTAATTTATTAAAAAATTTATAAAATTTATTTAACCGCAATATTTCTAATTTTATATTACAATAAGATAATAAGTACAAAAATATTAAAGTTTTTTCTATGTTTAGATAATTTAAAATAATGATGAATTTTATCCTCTTTTGCTCTTATTTAAGCCATATATAGTGATTATTAAATTTATTGATTATGTAAATTAGATTCGTAAATCATTACATCTCTGACCCTTTAGTGCTGATATAACAGCAAAGAAGTGTGCTGATGTGCTTATAATTGAATCAAATTAACCTAGCAGTATATAATTTTATACATGGATTCAAAACTGTTATTAATCTATATTTATACTTGAAATTTTTGATATTTTTAATTTAGATATTTCTGGGGGTATTAAAGGCTCTTAGATATTTTTTGAAAGACTTAATATTTTTATTTTAAAAAACAAAATTATGTTTATCAGCACACTTTCGACTATGCTATTATTGCTCTTGAGCAATTAATCAGAAGGTTAAAAAGTTAGTAGTATATTTTAGCTATGATGGATGCAACAATGGATTCAACAACCGACGCAGTTATTATTCTTGCTGTCTCTACAATTTTGGGGAAAGAAAACTCCACTCCTATAGGTTCCATGGTGGGAGGCACAACATTATACATGAAAGTAATAATATCATATAACAATATTAGGTATAAGGATTAGATTAAACAGCTAGTAATAATGCTGTATATATTGGAAAGTATCCTTGTGTTATTTCTGATAAGGGAGTCAACGGATTGTTCATGAACTGTAAAACAACAAAACCAGATCCAAATGACAATAACTTATCTAACTTAGAAATTGTTGTTAAGGTATCAGGTAAACCAGACTCTGTTTGTACATTTAGTAGTGCATAATGCCATTTCACATACTCTTAACATTATACACCAAAATTATTTTATGTGAGTCCAAGATCAAATTATCCAAGAACACTAAGTTATTGGAGAGCCAAGTGGGCTGTCTCAAGCTCAGTTGTTTAATAACTAGAAGGACAATTTATGGGAGCTAATAGATGTGACAGATTCACAGTTTAAGATTTGTATCCAGATGAAATTAATTTCTGGGATGATCAAGTTGTATGCTAAGTTTCAGCTGAAATCTAAGCAGGATATTATGATTATACTATTAAATCATAAAGTGGATATCAAACTAATGATGTAGGAGTTAAATAAAAAAAAGTTTATTCTGACAGAACATACGACTCAAAGTAATTATATAATTTATTTTTTTCAGAGTTCTTCCATTAATTACAGAAATTAATACAAATTTTGCATCACCAGAAGGATAAATTCTATAAATTTCAGGATATGGATTTAGTCCTATTGCATCTGAGAATACAGTTAAAATTTCAGGTTAATCTGAAACTATTTAAGTATTATCATCAACACCTACAACTATCAATGCTAAAATACCAAAATTAAGTAGTTTACCAACTATTGCTGATGCTACTGAAAGTTCTGTTTATATTTAAGGAAGTGGATTACATTATACTAGATGGGATGTTTCAGGTTTAAATTTAAATTGTGCTTCCTTTAGAACTTAAATTATTACTAATTAAGCTTAATTAGATAGTAGAATTTAATTTGATGGAATTTATCCAGAACCAGATGTCTAAAATTAATTTGGAGAATATTATGGATAATATTTTAGAGGTTTCTTAAAAGCACCATTTACTGGAAATTATAGATTTTATGTTGCTTCAGATGATTGTGCATAATTCTTTATTTAAACAACTGAAATTAAAAAACCAATAAGACCAGATACAGCAACAGCTTCTAGTGGTTGGAATCCATATAGAAATTATTGGTATGAATATTTGACTTATTCTTACACTATCAAATCTATATCTGAAACTGTATCCTTATAAGAAGGAGAATATTATTATATTGAAGCTTATCATCTTAATGGTGGATCAAGTGGTTATCTTACTCTTTCTATGGAAGTTGAAAGTGCTACTAGAAAATCAAATTCATTGAATAGTATCTATGAAATTTCAACATCTTATACACCAGTTAAAGAAATTATTGAATTTACTTTATATAATTCAGTTGGAAATACTTTATTAGCAGGTAAATATTAACTTTAATTCACTTATGGTACAAAGACAACACCATAAACTAGTTTATATTATTCTTATACTACTGGTGATATTACAGCAAGTGCTTCTGCAAATGCTATTAAAAATGCAATTTAAAGTTGTGGTGGAAGTTATTTAGTAACTGTAGTTGCTACAAAATTAGATAATACTGGAGCTGCTTTAGATGATGCTGCAACAACCTTTGCTGGATATAAATATACTATTACATTTGATTCTCATAGAGGTACTACTCAATATAGAGCACTTCCTAAGATAGTCTCATCAACACTTAATGGAGGAACAGTTGTATAAAATATAGAAAGAACTTAAGAACCTCTTGATCCAATTAGTGGAACTTTCTAATTAACAATGACAATTGGTGGAATAGATAATTTATTCTAAGTATCTTCAAATGTTTATGATTTACCTTTTGATGCTTCATCATCATTGATTGCTGATAATGTTGAAAGACTAACAGGATAAAGACCTTTTGTTTGGACTGTTGGAAGACCATAAGATGGACAAAAATGGTATATTATATTTAGATCAAATCTTGATTTATTAACTGACTTTTCAGTTTCAAGTAGTCTTCTTGTTTCAGGAAATGGAGATGTAACTGCTGCAGTTACTAAACCAATTCCAGATAGTACTAATTTATTATTTGAACCTATACCAAATGAATTATTATTTACTTATAGCTAACATCCATAAGTTCAAGTTCAAGTTTAATACGAAATAAAAGAAAATAATGTTGTTGTGGAAACTGAATAAATTTTAGCTGGTTGCGAATAAGTAGAGGCATGTGATTTCACTTTAAGTGATGAAAAGACTCCAACTTTAACCGCATATTCAGTTACAGGATCTCAATTATCATTAACTTTATCAGAAGGAGTTGGATTACCAATAGCATAAACAGACTTAGAAGTTTCATATGCTGGAGCTGATTGTACAAACATTCAATTCTCAACTAACACTTCACCATATTCTATAACATGTAGTTTAGAATAATTGGATACATAGAATATTAAAGAAGCTGGTGATAATTAAGTACCTGCTGTACATCACAAAGGTATTGGTTTCTCTAAAATTGATGCTGGAGTAACAGGAGAAAGCATTAATTTGGTTATATCTTCAGTTTTACCANTTTATATTTAAGGAAGTGGATTACATTATACTAGATGGGATGTTTCAGGTTTAAATTTAAATTGTGCTTCCTTTAGAACTTAAATTATTACTAATTAAGCTTAATTAGATAGTAGAATTTAATTTGATGGAATTTATCCAGAACCAGATGTCTAAAATTAATTTGGAGAATATTATGGATAATATTTTAGAGGTTTCTTAAAAGCACCATTTACTGGAAATTATAGATTTTATGTTGCTTCAGATGATTGTGCATAATTCTTTATTTAAACAACTGAAATTAAAAAACCAATAAGACCAGATACAGCAACAGCTTCTAGTGGTTGGAATCCATATAGAAATTATTGGTATGAATATTTGACTTATTCTTACACTATCAAATCTATATCTGAAACTGTATCCTTATAAGAAGGAGAATATTATTATATTGAAGCTTATCATCTTAATGGTGGATCAAGTGGTTATCTTACTCTTTCTATGGAAATTGAAAGTGCTACTAGAAAATCAAATTCATTGAATAGTATCTATGAAATTTCAACATCTTATACACCAGTTAAAGAAATTATTGAATTTACTTTATATAATTCAGTTGGAAATACTTTATTAGCAGGTAAATATTAACTTTAATTCACTTATGGTACAAAGACAACACCATAAACTAGTTTATATTATTCTTATACTACTGGTGATATTACAGCAAGTGCTTCTGCAAATGCTATTAAAAATGCAATTTAAAGTTGTGGTGGAAGTTATTTAGTAACTGTAGTTGCTACAAAATTAGATAATACTGGAGCTGCTTTAGATGATGCTGCAACAACCTTTGCTGGATATAAATATACTATTACATTTGATTCTCATAGAGGTACTACTCAATATAGAGCACTTCCTAAGATAGTCTCATCAACACTTAATGGAGGAACAGTTGTATAAAATATAGAAAGAACTTAAGAACCTCTTGATCCAATTAGTGGAACTTTCTAATTAACAATGACAATTAATGGAATAGATAATTTATTCTAAGTATCTTCAAATGTTTATGATTTACCTTTTGATGCTTCATCATCATTGATTGCTGATAATGTTGAAAGACTAACAGGATAAAGACCTTTTGTTTGGACTGTTGGAAGACCATAAGATGGACAAAAATGGTATATTATATTTAGATCAAATCTTGATTTATTAACTGACTTTTCAGTTTCAAGTAGTCTTCTTGTTTCAGGAAATGGAGATGTAACTGCTGCAGTTACTAAACCAATTCCAGATAGTACTAATTTATTATTTGAACCTATACCAAATGAATTATTATTTACTTATAGCTAACATCCATAAGTTCAAGTTCAAGTTTAATACGAAATAAAAGAAAATAATGTTGTTGTGGAAACTGAATAAATTTTAGCTGGTTGCGAATAAGTAGAGGCATGTGATTTCACTTTAAGTGATGAAAAGACTCCAACTTTAACCGCATATTCAGTTACAGGATCTCAATTATCATTAACTTTAT